TCCCACCCGTGGGGCTGACTCCCGGTCCTCCCACCCGTGGGGCTGACTCCCAGACGTCCCACCCGTGGGGCTGACTCCCGGTCCTCCCACCCGTGGGGCTGACTCCCGGTCCTCCCACCCGTGGGGTTGACTCCCGGACGTCCCATCCGTGGGCCCACAGTGCTTGTCCTGTGGCTGCTGCTCTCACTCAGCACCGCTCACCCCACAGCAGGGGCCAGTGGCTTCCCCTTGCGGCTGGATAATGCGTTTCTCTGTTCGCTCATCAGTGGACACTGGGTGGCTCCCACCTCTGGCTGCTGTGCGTGATGCCGCTGTGACCCCGGGGGCGCAAACCCACGGCTATGGTTTTAATGGTCGGGCAGTGCTCCGTGATGGTGACCTCATACCGTCCTGGGTCCCACCCCCAGCAGGGACTGGTGTCCGGCCCAGCAGAGCACTTGATATGTGGAACTTCACGCACCTCTCACCACAGCCCTGTGAGGTGGGCGCTCTCGTGTCCCCAATGTACAGATGGGGAAACTGAGGCCAGCACGGTGGCATGACTTGCCTGCGCTGCCAGCCTCGGGGCTGGGTGCTGGGTACTCAGTGGAACCCACGTCCTCACTTCTTGCAGGGCGTTCCATTGCCGTGTGCATTGCCCCGTCCTCAGTCGTGCGTTCAGACATGGCGTGGGCCCGCTCTGCGCTTGCCCTGGGCTGAGTGAGACGCCAGGCGGGGTGCCACCTCCAGGAGCTGGCAGGACAGGAGCCTGACACACACAGGCAAAGAATAGGCGAGCCACTGTCCAGGCCTGCACAGGGCCACAGGGGTGTGCGTGCAAGTGTGTGCATGTGTATATGCACCTGTGTGCATGTATGCAGTGGGTTTGCATCTATATGTGTTTGTGTACACATGTGTGCAGGTGTGTGTGTGTGTGTGTGTGTGTGTGCATGCCAACTCTGGCTACAGGTGGGGAAGCAGGCCCAGGAAGGAGGACTTTCTTTAGGGGCAAAGCCAGGTGTTCTGGTCCCAGATATTCTGAGCCCAGGTGCTGAGCCCAGATGTTGTAAGCCCAGGTGCTCTGGTCCCAGGTGTTCTGAGCCCAGGTGCTCTGGTCCCAGGTGTTCTGAGCCCAGGTGCTCTGGTCCCAGGTGTTCTGAGCCCAGGTGCTCTGGTCCCAGGTGCTCTGGTCCCAGATGTTCTGAGCCCAGGTGTTCTGGTCCCAGATGTTGTGAGCCCAGGTGCTCTGGTCCCAGATATTCTGAGTCCAGGTGCTCTGAGCCCAGGTGCTCTGGTCCAAGGTGCTCCGGGCCCAGGTGTGTCTGTCGCTGAGGTCCATCTCCGGGATCTTGGAAGGTGAAACAGCAGGTCCTGCTCGGTCCTGTTCCCAGCGGCATTGTTTTCTTCATCAGTTTGTCCCCAACTTTTAATTCTGAGAACTTCTGAGCACATAGAGAGTTGCAGAGAGGAGCAGCGCCCTGGCACCTTGTCCTGCCTTCACCTGGGAAGTGTCTCTCTCCTGAGCCGTTGAGTTAGCTGCCTTTGCACACTGGCCCCTGGGCGGCTGGTGCACGTGGTACCGGCACGCCTCCCTATAGAGCCCGCGTCCCCTGCCCCGAGGTGTCCTTCACAGGCCCTGTCTTCTCCTCCAGGACCCAGTGCAGGAGCACCACTGCAATCGGTTATTGTCTGTGCCGTTCGTCTCCTTTGTTCTAGAATGTTCTTCTTCCGAGACGCTGACAGTGGAAGAGTGCAGCCTGCTGCGCCGTGGGATGGGTCCGTGTCTCGGTGGCGGGAGCAGGCTAAGCGGCGTTGGCAGGAGGCCCCGTGGGACTGGGAAGACCTGTCCGGCGGTTGTAATGCTTCTCATCTCCTAAGCAGCTGGGAGATGAACGGAGTGAGCGCCGGGGCCAGGCCTGCAGTGACCAGTGGGCCGCCTGGGCTGTCAGGGAGGTGGGGCGGTGGCTGTGCCAGGAGGGGCGGGGCGGGAGGGGGCAGCACCGGGGCCACTGAGGCCTCCCTAGACCCCCCACCCCTTTCCTTTCTGGTCACAGCCCCTTCCCCAGCCCCCCGCGAGCCAGACTGCTCATGGGAGGTGGGGCACGGGGGGAGGCCGTCATGACGCCCAGCCGCCAGGACACCCTCCTCGGGTTGCGGGGAGTCCTTTGGGGCGCTGTGAGCCCCGCCCCCTCGTGCAGAGGGCGCGTTTCCGTCTTTTCTTTAAAGCATCGTAGTTTTCCCTGGGCCCCCGCCCTGCAGGGACGTGTGGTGTGGGGTTAGGATAGAACTTTCTACGCGGCAGGTGGCGACCCATTTACGGGCCCAGAACCAGATTAGTGGGCCGCGTCGGTTACGTAAGTCGAACTGAATAGAGAAGCAGCAGAGCCCAGCATGGGAGCGAGGGTTTGGTACGTATTCACGCACCGTCCGCACCAGGCTGAGGCGTGACCCTCCCCAGCGCGTCCTCACCCTGGCCCCGGTGCCGCATTCGGAGAAGAGTCTTCGCCGCTGGGCGTGAGCTCAGGTGCTGAGATGGGACGGGGTCCGGGTGAGCCCTAAGTGCAGCCAGTGTCCTTGGAGGAGAGGCAGAGGGAGGCTGCAGACAGACACACAGACCAGAGGGGACGTGGCTACGGAGGCAGAGATGGGAGGTGCGGCCACGAGCCACCAATGCCGGTGGCCCCTGAAGCTGGCAGACAGGGCCAGGGCCCCCCAGCCTCTGAAGGGAGGGGCCTGCCACGCCTGGTTTTCGCCCAGGGAGAGCCATTTGGGCATCTGGCCCCCCGAAGGAGGAGAGAATAAGTGTGTGTTGTTTTGAGGCCCCCTTTTGTGGTGCTTTCTCACAGCGGCCCCAGCAAACTGAGCCACGGTGTCCTCGCATTGGCCTGCGGCCGGCTGGGCTCAGCTGGCCAGGCTGCCCGGGGGGTGGCCAGGCCCATCTCGCACCTTCCTCCTGGGACCCGCGGGCAGAGTGTTCTCCCAGTGGAGCGGGTGCGAGGTCTGCGGCCCAGACGCTGCCTGGCGCACGGTCACCACCCCCGTGCCATTGGCCAGGACCAGCCTGTGAGCAACACACGGTCTGGGACCGGACGCTGCCCTGTGCCCCCGATGCCAGCAAGGGCGAGGCACACCTGTGCCGGCCACCTCCGATCGCATGGCCCTTCCTGTGTGCTGACGCCAGAGCCGTGTGGAAGCCACGGGCCAGTGACAGGGAGCCCGGCTCCAAGTGCATGGTCTTAGGACCCGGGACCCCGAAGTTCACGGGTTTCAGGGCCCCAGCTCCGCTTCCCTGTGACCCCCCCACCCTGACCTGCATCTGGAAGGTGCGTGGGGGGGGGGGTTGGGGGGCAGGATGGGAGCTGCAGTCGGACACAGGTCACACACAGTGGAACCCCCACCCCCGCCGGACTCCCGGGCTCAAAGCCTGCGACCTGTCACGGTCACAGCACCTGCTCAGTGCCTCCCGGGGAAGGAGGATGGGAGTCCCGCCTGGGGATGAGGCGGCCCGTGCACTGTTGTCACTGTCGCCACATCGTCCCTGCCCTGAGCTGGGCACGGGGCCGCAGGGCATGGGCAGCAGAATAAGTACAGGGAAACGTCTCATTCATAACGAGAGGAGGGCACTCTCTGCCGTGGATGCCTCGTTTGTACCACGCGTGGGCCCTGGGCTGGAACGTGATGCGCCAGGAGGCCTTGCCGGCCTGTCCACTGGGCGCGTCCGATCCCGCCCGCCCACTGGGCACAGCTCCCAGAGCTCAGACTGGGCAGCCAGGGCCCCGCCCCCACTCCTGAGCGCTGACGGGGAGGTGCCCACGGGGCACGTCACTGAGGTAACCCTCACACCTCCGAGCTGCTCCTCGTCCGCCGCGGGTGGGAACTGTGACTGTGATGCCCCAGCGCCTCTGCGGTGGGTCCTGGCCCGGTCTGCTCCTGGCTGGGTTTGCACCTGGGTTTGCACACGCCACACGCACCAGGAACCGCGATGATGCCGTGGGCTTGCTCACTGCGGCCACGGGCTGGGTCCAGGGCTGTGCGGCCACTCACACTGCGGGCAGGTCAGAAATAATGTCCACCTCCCAGGATCTTAAAGCCAAAACCAGCAGAGGACAAGGGACGCCTGGGGGACCAGGGCGTCAGCCAGACTCAGGCAGGGGCCCAGCACAGTAATTCTTTAAATACACACACACACACACACACACACACACACACACATTGATTGATTGATTTCAGAGAGGAAGGGGAAGGGAGAGAAAGAGAAACATCACTGATGAGAGAGAATCATTGATCGGCTGCCTCCTGCACGCCCCCCACTGGGGATTGAGCCTGCAACCTGGACACGTGCCCCGATCGGGAATCGAACCCGGGACCTCCTGGTTCATAGGTCGACGCTCAACCACTGAGCCATGCCAGCCGGGCCCAGGGCTGTCTTTCATGCCCACGGACTCCCATTAGTCACCCGAGCGTCCTAGGCCTCAGTTTCCCCCCAGTGCATGGGGCCATGTAGAATAAATGAATGGGAAGCAGTCCCTCTAAATTCATGTCTACTCAGAGCCCTGTCGTGGGGCCTCACGTGGAGTGAAGGTCCCTGCAGATGTCCTGAGATGAGGGGGAGATGGCGCCATCCTGCTTAGGGTGGCCCTGCGATGCCCTTATTAGAGACGGAAAGGACACACGGGCGCCGGGAGAGGCCTCCTGAGGACAGTGGCGGAGATCGGAGCGATGCGGCCACCAGGCCAGGACGGCTGGAGCCACGGGGGCCGGAAGAGGCGGGGAGGACCTTCCCCGGAGCCTCAGGAGGGAGCGGGGCCCGGCCCCCACCGGCCTCCAGGACCAAGAGCGCCGTGTCTGTGGTTGAAGCCCCGCGTGTGGGTGTTGGGCAGCCCAGCCCCTGGCAGAGACGAGTGGATGGGAGGGCGTGGGAGCCGCTCTGCCCCTCCCCCGCCCTCAGAGCGCCTTTCCCGGAGCCCGGGAACAGGTGCGCGCGGAGCCTGGCCGTCTATTTCAGGGCGTGGGTGCCAGGGCGGCAGCAGCCACGTGACCCTCTGGGTGTCCGTCCGAGCCGTGCTGGCCGCAGAGGCACCCGCACCAGACCGGCTGCTGCCCGCAGCCTCCACGGTGCCGCCCTCCGGAGAGACCACGCTCCATGGGGATGCCCGGCGGGGAGACGGGTAAGGCCCCAAACCACCCCGTGCATGAGACCGTCGCCGGGAGGAAGGCGCGTTTTTCTAACGGGAAGGCTTGGGCCCCAGGAATAAACTTTGGGGGCCCGACAGGAAAGGAGGCACCCAACTGAGCCCCACTGTTTATGAATGTAGGGGCAGAACTTATGAGAGCCGACTATATGCCAGGCTTTGGGACTTTGTGGAGTGGCCCATTTTACAGGTGAATAAGCTGAGATCAGGGAGGGTAAGGTGGGGGCACCGGATCGAGATCTGGCTCCAGTGCCCTTTGAACCCCACTGGGCGGAGTCCCGGGCCCACAGCCTCTGCACCAGCCCCTCCCTCCTCCTTCCCTCCCTTCTTGTCCTTTAAGGCGGGGATCTCAGTCCGGCCTTTTGCTCCCCGGGGGCCACTTGGCAAAGTCTGGCGGCATTGCTGGTTGTCACAGCTTGGGGGCGGGGGGTGCTCCAGGCATGGGGGGCAGGGTCGCTGCTCAGCTTCCCGCGATGCCGGATGCCCCAGCACAGGGTTGCCTGGCCCCAAATGTCAGCTGAGCTGAGGTGAGAGGCCTGCTTAAGGAATATCATGAAAACCAGTCCTCCTGGTGTTGACACGAGAAACGGCCATCTGCAACTTAGATAAAAACAACCGGTCGTTCTCATCGTCTCATCGCAGTGAGGACGCCTGGAGGGGAAGGCTCCGGACTTGGGGACTTGGGAGCGGAGACGAGAGGGGATGAGATGGAGGAGGGGTGGGGGATGGCCTGGACCCCCAGAGGCAGAGATTGGGGTGCACAGGGAGCACCTCTGTGAGCCCGGCGTGTGCAGGGGTGGGGTCCAACCTCATCTCGATCCTGAAGTGCTCCCACCCTGGTCCTGAGCCTCTGTCCTGGCACAAGGCTCTGTGCCCGGTGGGCGCCTCCGCTCTGGGCGTCGGGGCAGAGCCTCCCCCTCAAGGGCACACTCCTCGGCCGCGGGTCTGTCCGGACGCAGGGCCAGGCCTGTGTACACCCCCCCGTCAGCGCCGTGCGCACCAGGGTTTGTACTGATGGAGCAGCTCTGGGCTGGGGCAGTGCCCTCCCTCTGGCCTGACCCCTCCGCGCCCTGGTCATTCATGTCACCGGAAGGGGCCTGGCCCGGAGCGGGCTGCCCGGGGCCGGCCAGTAGAGTATGGCTGCTTGACTTTGTTCAGGAAAAATTTCGTAACATGAGTCCTGGTGATTTTTAATATGTTTTTATTGATTTCATAGAGGAAGGGAGAAGGAGAGAGAGAGAGAGAGAGAAACATCATGGAATGGCTGCCTCCTGCACCCGCCCCCCCCGCCCCCCCCCCAGGTCCACCAGGGATTGAGCCTGCAACCTGGGCATGTGTGCTGACCGGGAGTCAAACCGGCGGCCTCTTGGTTCCTGGGTTGATGCTTAACCGCTGGGCACCCCGGCCGGGCCTGGCGATTTTTAGAGGACGTTTATTAAGGGGACAGTGAAGCAAGGAGGGGCTTGGGCTAGAAGCCACAGGAGAGGGACGAGGTGGGAAATGGGCTCAGGCAGGCTGCTCGGGCTCACTAGGAAGTCAGAGGAAAGGGGGCCCTGGGGACGGGGTCCGGGGGGGGGGAGCCCGGGATGAGCTGCCGCTGCCAATGCTCCCCTGGCTGCCAGTCTCGTGGGGTCCCCTATGGGGTGTGCCTGAGGGGGGAGGAGGGGGCGATGGCACCGGTGCTCCTGGGAGGAAGAACGCACCGGGACCTCCGTTTTAAGGGTGTTGAAGGCTGGGGGTTTAGAAGAAGTCTTAGGGGAGGATCCCAATAGAATAGTCATCCGTGTTATGCTGATGTGCCAGAATGAGACTCATTGCCTAACTCCATCTGTCCTGTGTGGTTGGCACAGTGGCACTAGTTGGAGTCCTGCGGCCTGTCTCCCTGAGTAGGTGTCCCTGGTTACAGAAGAGAGGATTTACTAGTTGGCTGTAAACTGCTTGGCCCTTTAGCTCTGCCTCAGTTTCCCTAGTCTCTTGTCCTGGCTTCCTGGCCTGTTTCATTGGGGCTTGTCACTGCCCGGGGCCCCAAGGGCCCCGTCTGTAAAGGGGTGACTGTTCCTCCCTCCAGGGTGTCAGAGTGAGCACAGCAGACACTTGGATTTGTTTCCCGAAGCCGGTGGCAGGGGCTCCCCACAGTGGGCCGGACGCGCCCCGTGCGGACCGGCCTTGGGCTCCAGTTGGCTTGGGCTCAGGTGACGCCTCCTGGCCTGGCTGGTGTGCTGATGGTTCTGAAAATACCCTGGACTCCCAGAGCCCAGCCATGTGATGGTGTCCATTTCTCCAATGGAATTTCCATGCTGGAGGTGGGGCGGGGCCCCGCCCAGCCAGGGACACTGTGTCCTTCACGCCCTGTTGCGTTTCCCCCCGATGATGGCCAGTAACGCCGACGGCAAAGAGCAGACGGGACTGCAGTGCAAACAGACACTCCCGTTCCCAGTTCTCAAATGAAGTCGTGGCATCGCGTGATAAAAATAGCCGCGACGGAAGCGAGGTTCTGCTCCCATAGAGCTCTGTAAGCGCAGAAACTAAAAAACCAAAGACCTCTTAGAAGAAAACAGGGAGAGGTATTTGCGATCTCAGTGAGGCAATGGTTTCTTTTCTTTTTGAAAAATATGTTTTGTTTTGTTTTTTTTTATTGATTTCAGAGAGGAAGGAAGGGAGAGAGAGAAATAGAAACATCAGTGATGAGGGAAAATCACCGGCTGCCTCCTGAACGCCCCACGCTGGGGACGGAGCCCACAACCGGGCAGGTGTCCTGAATGAGAATCGAACTGGCAACCTCTTGGTGCACGGACGCCGCTCAGCCGCCCGAGCGTCACCAGCGGGCGGCAGGGGACTCCTCAGCATGGCACCAAGACACGAGCAGCGCAGAAAGTATACCTGAGTTCGATTTCATCAACATTCGACACGTTTTTGCGGCAAACCACCTTATGAAGTAAACACGGCTCACAGAACGGGAGGTAGCATTTGCCAGTCATGTATGTGATAAGGCAGCGGTTCTCAACCTGTGGGTCGTGACCCCTTCGGGGGTCCAATGACCCTTTCACAGGGGTCGCCTAAGACCATCGGAAAACACATATATAATTACATATTGTTTTTGTGATTAATCACCGTGCTTTAATTATGTTCAACGTGTAACAATGAAAATACATCCTGCATATCAGATATTTACATGACGATTCATAACAGTGGCAACATTACAGTTATGAAGTAGCAACGAAAATAATTTTATGGTTGGGGGTCACCACAACATGAGGACCTGTATTAAAGGGTCGCGGCATTAGGAAGGTTGAGAACCACTGTGATAAGGGAACTTGTGTCAGGAATATAGAAACGATGGATAAACCAGTCATAAAAAGACATTCCAATTAAAGGGGCCAAGGACCCCAACAGTCGTTTCCCCAAAGAAGACACAGATGGGCCCCGCTTCCCTGTGTCCCGCGGAGGAGGCTGGGTCCCTGTGGCTTCCGTGGGGTTGCAGTCAGAGCCAGTGCCCAGCATCTCTGTTCCATGCGCTGGGGAGTCCAGGCCTGCGTCTGGCTGGCTCAGTGCGTGCCCAGCTGCCGTCCTGAGCCCGGTGCCTGCGGGGCCCCCAGGGCCATGGGCCACGCAGCTGTGGAGGGAGCATGGGTGGGTGTGGAGCCAAAGGAACCAGAGATCCAAGAGCGAGCCACGAGCCAAGAGAGCGAGCGCCGGGGTTTAGGGGAGTGTGTATTCCCAAACTCCCGTGACCTTGCAGTGGCCACGCCCATTCTGGCCCCTGATCTCGTTCCCAGGTGTGACTGACGGGCACCTTCCCTGGTCACCCACCTTCACTGCGCATGCGCCTATCCCCCTTCGTTGGACCCCCCCCCCCCCCCCGTGACCTGTGGGAATGGGCCGAGGTTCCCTGGGGGCGGTGACGTTGCAGCTTCCTGGTGCGGCTGCCAGATGACATGCCAATGGTGTCTGGTCTCCCTTTGCTCCTTCCTGTGATTCATAACCAGCGAATTACAAGAACCATCTGGAGGTCACGGCTGCGGCCCCATCTCAAAGGCCTGGGCAGGAAGGGGCGGCGGGTGACTCTGAGCTGGCCAGTGCCTGCCTGGGGCGCGCTGGCCGGTCCCGAGCCCCACGAGCTCCCTCACTGGGGTGTCCTGTGGCAGAGGCCTAGCTCGGCCCACAGACCCTCTTGGTGGGAGTTGACGGTGGCTGTGGAACCCTGTGGCCCTGGTTCGAATCCTGGCTGTGCTCTTCCAGCTCGTGACCTGGGTTGGCGGTGGAGTTGCCGAGCGCAGTGCCCGGCACACCCGGGCACGAGCCCCGAAAGAGGACGATGCCCAGAGGCTGTGACTCACCCCCTGCCGGGGCCCTGTGCGGGGCTCGAGTCACCCGGCGCGTTGCCTGCTTCTCATTAGGTTTAAGGGACATTTACTGGGCATCTGCTGGGTGCTGGGCTCTGGGCGAAGGTTGAAGAACCAGGCGAGGTCACTGGCTGGCCCAGTGGGGCCGCCTGGCCAATGGCAGTGTGACCCAGGCACAAGCATGGGCCTGGGAGCCCAGAGACCCGAGTCCTGGCCCAGCCTGCCGGCCCTGGCATCTCCCCGAGCGCGCGCGCGCGCGTGTGTGTGTGTGTGTGTGGCGGGGGAGGGGAGGCGGCGGTAATGGGCCCAGATGCCCGCTAAGCCTGACCTTCCGGAATGCGACCCGTGAGATCCTCAGATGCCTCTCCGGTCAGGAAGGGCTGCTCTTCCGGGGATGAAATATCACCCTCGGGGCGTGGGTGGCGAGGGCGCCGGGACCAGCTGCTTGAAGCCTGAGTTGTCCCAGGAATTGCCGGGAGCCTGGGCTGGAGCCCATGGGAGCCATGGCCAGCCTGCGCTTCCGTCGCTCACGGCCGTGCCTCTCCCAGCTCCTGCCTCTGGAAGGAGCCCCCCACCCCCTAACACCCTCTGAGCCCCCACCATGTGCCAACCTGCCCCGTCACCACCCTCGAAACAGAGGGACAGGTGCAGAGCAGACGTGAGGAGGGGAGGACACAGCACGCAGCTCCCAGGCCCCGTCCCTGGTGGCGAGGACCCACTGCACCCGCGGGGCCATGGGGAGGGGCCCCAGCGATCGCCGGGCGGATGCCCTCGGTCCCGGTACCAGCCTGTGCCTCCATCCAGAGCTGAGCCTCCGTGGGGGGGGTGGGTTCCCAGTCCCGATCCTCTCATTCCCAGCGGGCCTGGTGCTGCAGTTCCATTATCACCGGATTACACAGCCCCGGCCCTTGAGGGATTGATCCAGCCACTGAGTGTGTGCTCCGTGTTATTATCACAGCCGGGGACCCGGCAAACCCAGTGTTAGAGCCAATCTGGAAATTACAGTGACACCAGCCTGCCGTGCTGGTGTGTAGTCTCCAAGGTGATCGTTTCTCCCAATCTCCCCCGCCCCCCCCCCCCGAAACTGTTTTACAGACGATTTCTTAGGGCAGGTATTTTTAGGTTATAGAGAAGTAAACAGCCCTAGCTGGTGTGGCTCAGTGGATAGAGTTTCTGCCTGAGGACTGAAGGGTCCCGGGTTCGATTCCAGTCAAGGACACATATGTGGTTGCAGGCTCGACCCTCGGCCCTGGTCAGGGTGCATGCGGAAGGCAGCTAATCGATGTGTGTCTCTCACATCAATGTTTCTCTCTGTCTCCCCCTCCCTTCCACTCTCTAAAACCCAATGGGACACATCCTCAGCACAGGATTAACAACAACAGCAAGAGAGAAAGAAAACGAAGTAAAAGCAGTGTTTCCGAATCCCCTTTTTTAAAAGAAAAGTTGAACAGAAAGTAGAGTGTTCCCAATACGCCCCCTGCAGCCGTGTCCATTGTTAACCCACATAGGTGGTGGCTTTGCCTGCAGCTGGTGACCCCGTTCGGATGCACCGTGTTAACTGAAGTGGGCGCGAGGGCGCTCCTGGTGCTGGCGTTCTCGGTTTGGACAAATGCATACGACATGTGTCCACCAGCACAGGGTCACGGAGCCATTTCTCTGCCTGAGGGTCCTCCGTGCTCCCCCTGTGCTCCCGCTCCTCTCCCCACCGACAAGCACTGAGTTTTCACTGTCTCCGTAGCGTTGTCTTCTGCCGCGTGCCCTGTGGTTGGAAGCACAGTGCGTGGCCTTCTCGGGTCGGCTTGTCACTTAGCAACACGCATCTCCGTGCCCTCCACGCCTGCTCGGGGTCTGATGGCTCATTTCTTGCTAGTTCGTTTCTCCCTTTTTTATTTTATTTTTTCCGTCAGAGAACATTTATTGGGTAAGTCACAGAGGTGGGGAAAGTCATTCCTAGAAGAAGTGGGCTTAGGAAACAGGTGGTGGAGGCCCAGGAAGGGCCCTTGGAGCTTGGGGGTAAGGAAGCTAATGGCCACGTGCTCGGGGTGGGACTGGGGAGGGGGAGGGGGAGGGGAGGGATGGGGGTGCTCCCGGGAGGGAGGGTGCACTGGGTCCTCCGTCCTAAGGGCTTTAAGGGTGGAGATTTTTTGTGACATTCACACTCCAGACAGAAATCGTGGCCAGAGCTGCCCATCGCTGTCTGGGAGCCGCGTGGAGAGAACCGTGCCGTGCGCGGTCCTGGTCAGTCTTGCGGCGGCCACGTGCCAGCGGGGCCACCTCTCTGGGCCCCGGCTGGCCCAGCAGCAGCAGCACTTACTCCGCCGGCCGCTGTAAGGGGCGGGGCCTCTGCGAAGCCCCCTGTGCACGGCGGACTCCGCGATCGGGCAGCTGCAGGAGGAGTGAGCCCATCTTTGGGGTAAAAGGCCCATGCCACCGCCCACAAGAGTCACAGGCGTGATCCAGGGCCAAGCGGGCAGATGGGCAGGTGCGGGCTGGCCGGATCACCTGCCTGCACCCCTTATACCTGCAGGGAGACAGGTGTCTGTCGCCACAATGCAGTGTCTATGTCCCACCACCAGGGGGCAGCACCCTGCTCACCCTCACAGGCCCCAGGTCCTCCCAGGAAACCATGTCTTAAAGCAGCCCCTGTCTCCCCACCCCCAACCCCATACAGCTCCAGGAGCCAGGAAACTGGTGATTCAGGCCATGGGATCTTGAAAATGACAATGGCTGTTGGTACTGAGCACGGAGTGTCTGCTGCACCCTGGGCTGACGCATTTTTGTTCGTGGCCCTGGCACCTCCCGGGCAGGGGATGTGGGTGGAGGGTGGATGCACAGACAGATGGAAGTCTGGGAGTTCCGGGCCCCAGCAAGTCGGAGGTGGGGCTAGGGCTGCACCCCAGTGTCTGACGCAGCCTGCGGTGCCTCCAGGCCCCAGGGCTCTGGCACTGATGGGGGAGGTGCGGGTGGGGGGGCGGGTGACGTCCCCCCCCCCCCCCCCCCCCCCGTGCGCACTGGGCCGTCTCCAGCAGCATCAGCACGTGCCTGTGTTCTTGTGGAGATGAGCGCGTATTGTCCTTTGTGTGCCTGGGGGATGAGACGATAACAGTGGGCGAGCCTTGTCCCCCCGCCCCCACAACGTCCATTTGACCTCCGACCTGGACTTGGTGGCTGTCAGCCCCCTGAGCCCGGCAGCGGGCTGTGCAGGGCGGGAGCTGGCACTGTCGGTCTCGCCACGGCTCGCTCCCCACGGGGCGTCTCAGGTTCAAGCCCAGAGCCTCACCTCTGCTCCTCCCGCCCGTGTGGTGTAACCGAGGAGGCAGCCTCTGCAGTTACTCTACAGGGAGAGGGAGTGTGGGCATGCGATGCCGCCGCCGTGGCTCCGGACCGCAGGCCGAGCTGAGTGCGGTCTTCTGGCTCCTCTGGGAGCGCCAGGCGGGCACTGACGCCGGGCCCCGTGCCACCGGTCTCCCTTCCTGCACCGCGTCTCCAGGCAGCGTGGTGCCCCGTCCCAGACAGCTGGCACCCCGCTCCCCGTGGGGTATTCAGAGCCGCCTCCTCGGAAGGCCTGCTGTGCCCAGCATGGCCCGGGCCCCGTGCCGCCGGCCAGGGCAGTGACCGCAGGGAGGAGAGGAGCCTCGCTGGCCGGGTGGGCTGTCGGAGGTGGGCTCCGGGGGGAGGGCAGGCTGGGAGCGATGTCCTCCTCTGGGGATGGGCCTGGCAGGCCTGGAGCCCGTCGGTGCCAGTGCTCAGCAGGTGTGGCTTTGCGAAACTGGTCCTGAGTGGGAAGTGGGCCTAGCCCACTCGATCTGTGTGGGCCTCTGCCACTAACCAGGGTGACTGCGCGGGGAGAGAGCGGGTCCCGGCCCCGGCTTCCCCGCCCGGCTCTGCCACGGGCTGTCCCAGTTGCTGCCCAGCTGCCTGCACCAAGCGCCTCCCTACACCCCCTCAGCCCGGGCACAGCAGCAACATCCAGGTCCAGGTCCCGGCACAGGAGGAACAAGGGGCCACAGAGGACTGTGCTGGGTGCCTGCCTTCGAAGGGTGCTGGGCCCCTGGCTGCAGAGGCCTGCGCAGCTCCCCGGTGGGGTTCTGAGGCCCTAGGACCGGGGCCGTCCCAGGTCAAGGCTGCAGGGGCAGGGCCATCAGGGGGAGGTAGTGATCTCCCCGTCCCTGCAGGTGTGCTCACAGGCAGGGGGCAGGAGCCCCTCATTGGGGTTGACCACGTCCGACTCCCATGGGCCCCCAAGCAGAGGAAAGCCTGTGCCTGATGCCCCTGGGCCTGTGCTGTGCAGGGGGGAGTGGGGGAGCCCGAGTCCTTGCCCTATTGCCGGCTGCTCGCCCGGTGCCTGTCTATCCCCCGTTAATGCGGCTCCTTTCCCCACAGTGTCGGAGCCGCCGGCGGCCCTGGGCGCCCTGGAGAAGCCGCCCGGCTCGGCCATCCTGTGCACCACCTGCGGGAACGTGTGCAGGGGTGAGGTGCTGCGGGTGCAGAGCCAGTACTTCCACCTCAAGTGCTTCGTCTGCAAAGGTGAGTGTCCGGCCCGCCCGGCGGCGGCGCCTCCAAACCGGCTGTCGGTTGCCATCGGCTCACAGGCGTGTCTGGGCAGCGGGCAGACCTGGAGCCTGGAAAGCCGGGTCCAGAGCCTTCCTACGGCAGTGCCATCTCATCAGTGTGGCCTGTGCCACCCACAGGTGTGACAGGAGTCCCAGGGGTCTCCTCACGCAGCTGCACCCCGTCGAGGACTCAGGTCCAGGGGCTGAGCAGCGGCCATGGGGGCCCAGGGTGGGTGTTGGTCCCTGGCGTCAGCTGTGTGGGGGCGCCGGGCCACACACGGGCCCCGCCTGGCGTAGGAAGAGAGCATCGCCATTCGTGCCGAGTGAAATGGCCTTCGTTGTCTCTGATGGTAAAGATACCGTGAGTGATACCAGCGATGAGATGAAAGTAAAGCAACACATTGTGAGGAGTCCCACCAAGAGCTGGGCCCGCCTGCTTCTCTCTCTCTTTTTTAAAATAGGTTTTTATTGATTTCAGAGAGGAAGGGAGAGGGAGAGAGAGAAACAGCAATGATGAGAGCGAATCGTTGGTCGGCTGCCCCCTGCACGCCCCACACTGGGGATCGAGCCCACAGCCCGCGCTTGTCTGGGGCGGGATCCAGGCCTGCCCCTGAGAGAGCGACCGCGCCTGGTCCTCTGGGGTGTCCACGGCGGCGGCGCCCCCGGGGTGAGCGAGGCAGCAGTGAGCCCGCGCCCGAGGACCTCTGCCTGCTGCCACCGCGCCGCTGCCCTGCGCTCTGTGTGCAGCTGTGCGTGGCCCACTGTTTGGAGCGAAAACTGGAGACCCCGTCACGACTCCCCCCTCCTCCCTCCCAGGGGAGGGCCCTGAGCCAGCCTGGAGCCTCCCGTCCCTGGAGGGTCACAGTCAACGGGCAGACCCTGGGCGGCTGGGGGGGCCAGTGTCTCAGGATGGGCACCCCCACAGCTGCCCGACCCTGGGACCCTGGGACCCTGGGGCCCCACCCCACCCACCCCTGCGGGTGCTGCCCCTCCGTCTGTGGGCTTGGTGGCTGCCAGGGATGGTGCTGAGGGTCATGATGCCCCTGAATTTCCTGGGTCCATCCTGGCTCCCTGGTGAATGCCCCCCCCAGCTGTCCCCCAGGCCCCCCACTCCCTGCCCTCAGGCAGGTGCTGGGGTTCTAGGCGGGGATAGGGGCACCCAGAACAGAGGCATGGGGTTCTGTTTGGGAGTTGAGGTGAGGGTACCAGGCACAGCCTGGGAGCATGTTTTCTGGGAGAGGATGGGGCGGAGGCGGAGCGGTGCTGGGAGCGGAGCCGTGAGCATTTCCGTGGGCATTTCCGTGGGCAGGAGCGCAGTCCACCTGCCCCCGCAGGCGCTGCCACTGTGAGGCCTGGAGTGAAGGGGACACGCAGCCGGGAGGTCTTCCTGGAGGAGGTGACCTGCCCTGTCGGGCCTGGGCCCTGCCTGCCTGAGGGGTCCCTTCCCTTCTTCAGAGCCCCGCCCGCCGGGCGATGTGTCTGGCTCAGTTTCCCTCCATAACGACCCATCGGCTCCGTTACTGAGAAGCAGAGCCCGTCAGGCCGCTGCTTTAAAGCCGGAGAGGAAGCGCCGTGTTTGAAGGGTTGTTTGTAGCGCGAACCTCAGCAGCACGTAGAAGGCGTCGGCGCCGAGGACGGAGCCTCACCGGGCTTGACCCTCGGGGTTTGGTCGGATGTGGGACCTGCCCCGGTGCCCCTCCCACGTGTCACAGGGAAGATGGCGCTGCCCCCTGGGCTCGCCTCCGCTGAGGACTGTAGGATCCAGGCCAGAGCTGCCCTGGGCCGGCGAGGGGAGGGTGCACAATGCCTGCGCCCTCGCCTTTGGGATGTTCCAGGCCTTCGTGGGAGACCCCCCCCCCCCCACCAGGCTTACAGCCCCAGGGAAGCTGCGCAGAGGGCGGCATCCGTCGGGCACAGCTTGTCCACAGCCCGACCCCGGCAGGGCGTGCCAGGAACCGGGTCAAGCGGGAGAACCGCGGGAAGTCACCGCGGGAGGGGCCTCCGATGACTCGCCCGTTATTCCCGGTGGCGAGGCCGAGGCCGAGGTCAGGATAGAGCAGGCAGCACAGCCCACCAGCCGGGCCAGCTCGCTCCGCTCGGGGCGGACCCCCGGGCCCTCTGCTCCGTGCCCTGTCGTCCTCCTGCCCCAGCACAGAGGGGCTGCGTCAGGCTCCGGCGAGCTGGCCTGGCTCCAGCGTTTACAGGGAATCATGCTGCACACACGTGTCTGTCTCTGGAGCATGCATGTCGAGGGCGGAGGAGTGCTCCCATGAGATACGCTCCCCACCGTGCCCGCCCACATCTGCCCGGATTCCTCCGGGTGCGAGGCCCACGCGGACCAGGCCAGCCCTCCGCTGTCGGCATTTGCGCCGATCCCACCCGGGCACCCGGCCAGTCGGTTCCCCAAACCTCTTCCCTGAGTCCTTCCGACAGCCATGCCAGGGGGGCACCGTGCACATGTTTTACAAATGAGGACTTTGAGGTTCAGAGAGGTTGAGTGACTTGGCCCAGGTCACACAGCGGGGAGAGCGGGAGTGAGGGCTCCAGCCCAGGCTGCCCGTCTCTCCAGCACCATCTGCCCCAGGGCTCATTCCCCACAGGGTCGGTGTGACGCTGCAGCCAGCGCCGGGGCCGGTCGGCCACGGGGAGCCTGGTCACTTCCTCCCGGGGCCAGGAGGTCGCCAGTGGGTTCCACATCTTTAGAGTCAGTGCCATATGGTGTTCCAGAAAGTGCCTCCCACCACGCCGCCCCTCCTGACCACTTCTCGTAAATGCCAGCGAGTGCCAAGGGCTGACACGCAGGCTCACCCCGCTGCTCCGCGACCCCTGTGAGGCACGACACTAGCAATGATCTTAATTAGGGTTTTCTCAATTATCCCTGAACTTGGGCTTCTAGCAGGCCTGTCCGTACCAACCTCGGTGAGCACAGCAGCCAAGGTTCGATCGGCAGCCACGTGACCGGGAGGAAGTGGCAGCTGCCCTGGGCAGGGGTGACGAAGGCGAAAGCGGCCTTGGTCCCTGTCCTGGTGGAGACTCACGTTTCCATGGGGCACGAGGTCCATTACACACTTCGCCCTCCAGGGGGCAGTCCGGCCGCCATGCCCTTGGGAAGATGGGAAAACAGCTGGATGCAGAGGCCGGGGTCCAGGGCCTATTGGTATAGGGGGCGGGTGCAGAAAAAGGCCATAGATCTCCTTTGAGGCCCGGAGAGCCTGTTCCTCCCGAGGGGGCACATCTGCTGGCCTCTGTCGTGATGCGAGACTCAGCAAAGGGTCCCACTCTCTGGGGTGTGAGCAGGATTCAAGTCCGGGCCCTGGGTGAGCGACATCAGCACAGCCGGCCTGGCAGTCCCCCGACAGCACTCACGTCGCCCCAGCCCCTCTGTGCTGCACGTTCACCTCTGCGGAGGCCCAGAGGGGTCAGGAGCTTGCCCAGGGGCGCACAGCGTGGCACACGGTGGAGCCGGGGACCAAATCCAGCGGCTCCCGCGCCCGGCCCTCAGCGCTCAGCCTGCGCCTGGCCTGTGCGAGGCGCTGCCCCCCCTGGAGAAGAGGAAGGAGGGACCGTCCGAGGCCCTCGCGGCCGTCCCAGCCCACGGCACATGCAGCCCTAGCGCCCGGGAAGGGGCAGGGAGCCGCAGGAGGGGCCCCCCACCCTGTGGTGAAGGGCTGGGCTGGGCTGGGGGGCCCACGCGGGGGGCGGGGGGCGCTGATGGAGCGTGAGCCGAGGGAACGGCTGACCAGACGGAGACTCTGCGGAATCAGCTTCCATGCTCCAGCCTCCCCAGTGCTCGCGGCACCTGGCCTCCCTGGGAAGTCGTCTGTGGTGGAGGGAGGTGGCCGGCCTTGTCCCCGGCTCCCGGGGCTCCACGCAAGGCCCAGGTCAGGAGTGGGGCTCCCTGGATGAGACCCAGCTCTCCCATCACCACCGCCCGACCGTCCAGCGCTGCGCTCCAGGCATTTAACGCCAGGATGTGTGCCACGTGCTGTCCTGATGGCTCTGTACTAATCGTCGTCAGGGTAACCCAGCCCCGAGCCTCACTGATGCCTAGAGCCTCGCGACCACGGCGGCTCCCAGGAGACCGGTGTCCCTGCCGACGTCCGAAGGGGCGCGGGGAGCGGCCGGCACCTTCAGTGTCAAGTGCCTGTGTGCGTGCAGCTCTCCCGGACGAAGGGCGCGGGGAGAGCCCGCTGTGTGGGAGCCGGAGGCGGGCTGTGAGCGGCTGGCAGTGGTCTCGCCCTGGCATCTACCTCCCACCGGATGTGCTCAAGTCCAGGGATGCCAGTCGGGCCCTGGCCGTTCTGCTCAGTTTGGCCTGCGGAGCGAAGGGTCCCGGGTTTGGTTCCAGGCCGGGGCACATGCCCGGGTTGCAGGCTAGGTCCCTGGTCAGGGGTGTGCAGGCGGCAACCGATCGGTGTGTTTCTCTCACATCGATGTTTCTCTTATCTTTCCCTGTCTCTTCCACTCTCCCTAAAAATCAATGGGAAAGTATCCTGGGGTGACGATTAAAAACAAACAAAACCCCACAAAGACGCCAGTGCTGGGAACCCGCCGTCAGTTAATATTTTAGTGAAAACTCCGAGGTGTCGATTCACAACCATATGAGGGCCACCGGGTTTTTCACGCCTTGAGAGGCCGTGACCTGTGAGAACTGGCCTGGCCGAGGTGCTGGGGCTGCCCGGGGGCGGGGGGGTTGGAGGGGTTCTGGGGCCTCCAGCAGAGAGGGGGGTCCGGGCAGTGCTCCCCCTGAAACCCTGCCTGGCTCCCACGTGCCCCTGGGGCGGGAGGGGTGTGTGCGGGTGAAGGCTCAGGGGTCCCAGTGGTTGAGTGACCGGCTGCCCCTAGGCTGGGTGCCCAGTCTCCACCCAGCAGAGTCCCCCAGCCCCTCCGCTCCCTGGGCCAGCAGGTGTGTGTTGGGGGCCAAGGGACGGAGGGTTCAAGGTCAGGTGTCCCGGTTCCCTCCTGCGGGGCCTGGCCTTGTCCACAGGTGGGAGGAGTGGGGAGGGTCAGGAGCTCACAGTGCCCTGGGGGGCCTGCCTGGGGGAGAGGGTCCCCCCTGACGCTGGCCTCGCGCTCTCCCCAGTGTGCGGCTGCGACCTGGCCGAGGGCGGCTTCTTCGTGCGCCAGGGCGAGCACATCTGCACACGGGACTACCAGCGGCTGTACGGCACCCGCTGCTTCAGCTGCGACCGCTTCATCGAGGGCGAGGTGGTGTCGGCGCTGGGCAGGACCTACCATCCCGACTGCTTCGTGTGTGCCGTCTGCCGGTGAGTGTGGCCCCAGGCTGCTGCGCCCACCCAGGGCCCCTGTGCCCACCCCGGGCCCCTGCACCCACCCAGGGCCCCTGCGCCCACCCAGGGCCCCTGTGCCCACCCCGGGCCGCTGCACCCACCCTGGGCCCCTGTGCCCACCCAGGGCCCCTGCACCCACCCAGGGCCCCTGCGCCCACCCAGGGGCCCTGTGCCCACCCTGGGCCGCTAGGCCCCTGCATCCACCCCAGGCCCCTGTGCCCACCCCGGGGCCACCCGGGCTCCCTCCCTGCCTCCCAGTGGGGCACAGCTACTGAGGGAGGCAGGACCCAGCCAGGGACAGCAGGCGGACACTGGGCGGCCGCACACAGAGCACAGCCTCACCAGCCCCGACCCTGCGGCCTCCTCCCCTGCCCGCCGCCCAGGACCAAGCCCTCTTTCCTGGGGGTGCCGAGGCCGGGCCACTGAGGCTGCTGGCACGTGGCCTCCTTTGGCTTCTGGGAAGGTTGCTCTGTCCCGGCCCCCTGCGGCCCCCGTGGCCAGCTCCTCTCCTGTCCGCGTCCCCCACACATTCCATCTCCCATATTGGCACCTGCTTCAGCCCCTCCTGCCCAGCCTCTGCTGCTCCTCGGCTGCCTGGCATGTTCCCCTGCCTGTACCCCCCGCGACACCACACCCAACCACCAGGCATATGTCCCCCTGCACTCCCTGCCTCTCAGCCCCGTGACACCACAGCCAACCACCAGGCGCGTGAGCCCCCAGCATGGGCAGCTCCCAGGATCCCTCCCTCTCCAGAACCCACCTGGTCACCGTCCCGCTCAGGAGTCCCACCATGGTCTCCATGCTGGGTCCCCTCCCCTCTCCTGTGCTGTCCACACTGCTCCTGGGTCTCCACGCTCCTCAGCCCAGCTGGGCCTCCACAGTCCGCTCCCCATCATTCATCCAGCCGGGCTTTTCCACGTGCCCCGCGGGCCTGGCCTGGGAACCTGGACGTGCATCAGCAGACATCCCCAGGGCTCTGCAGGGAGGTGCCTCCCAGAGCCTCTCCCACCGGGAGCAGCCCCCCCACCCCCATTGCATCCTGTCCTGACGCTCTCCTGGGCCCAACCTCTCTAGCAACGCGTCCCTGGAGCAGCCTGATGTGAGTGAGCCCCGTGTGGGCAGGGCCAGGCTGATTCCCCTCTGGCCGGGCTGCCCGGCACTGCCACTGCGTGGGGTACAGTGACAGATGCAGGGGGCAGACCCAGGTCCCTACCCTCAGCAGCAGGGAGACCGCCTCCCTCCTTCCCTCCCTCCCTCCCTCCACCGTCACCGACACACGGCTCCCAGGGGGATGTCTCATTTCTGGAAAACAAAGAATGAAAACCCGTGTTGCCTGACCAGCGTGGCTCAGTGGCTGAGTGTCGAGAACCAGGAGGTCACAGTTCAATTCCCAGTCAGGGCACAGGCCCGGGTTGATCCCCAGTGTGGGCGTGCAGGAGGCAGCCAATCCATGATTCTCTCATCATGGATGTTTCTCTCTCTCTCCCCCTCTCCCTGCCTCTCTCTGGAAAAACAAAACAAAGCGAGCTATTCTGCGCTCCTCGCTGCCTCATCACACCCAGTTTAACGGGAGGCTTTTGAGCGTTTGCCCAAAGCCGTTGTCTGTATCACGGCAGGTGCACCGGACAGAAGCGGGAGCTTTGTCGGGGATGCGGAGAGGGCGGAACAATGGCGGGGACCGTTTCTAAGGCGTCCCTGTGTGTTACCCAGCACGCGAGGGCCAGCGTCCCCCAGGGCTGTCTCAGTGTCTGACTTCTGGGCGAGTTGCTTGGAGGCCAGGGCTGACGTCATCACAGTGGCTGAAAGACCACCTCTGGGTCATCTGCTGTGTTGAGGATAATAGCCGACAGCTGCGTCCTGCTGGGCCTGGACCCACCATCCACTGTAAACAACGAGAAAACTGGACAAAAGACACAAAACACCTGTTTGCAGATGTTGTGGCCCAGGCGGCTGAGGACTGAGAGAAGGAGGCCAAGGAATGGAGCCCTGTGACCGGCCTGGCCTGCTGCCCGGTCCCAGGAGGGGCCACTGGGCAGGGCGTTCTCGCTGAGCTGGGAGACGGTGCCCTGAGAGACCGAGCAGCATGCAGAGGGGAGAGAGCTGCGCTGGACAAGAGCTCCGGGAGCTGTGGAGGGGCCGTCGAGTCCTCATGGACACGGAGGGCATTTCACAGGGTGAGGCAGAGAATGACCAGGTTGCTGTAAGCGAAGCAGTTCCCAGGCCTGGAGGCCGTAGGTCCTGGCCAGGCGGACAGTCCTTGCTGAATACCCAGGCACGCAGCAGGGACACCAAGAGGGCCATCCACGCCTTACCGGTGGGACGGAGCCGACAAAGTGCGGGAAAAAACCTCAGAAAGGTCAGGCTGATGCGCAAACCAGGTGACCGCCGCCAAAGCAAAGTCCAACGCTCCCCGGAGGAAGGAAAGGAAGTCCCGCCTCGGCCACGTGAAATTGACAACGTTCAACTTCCCCTCAAATGCCACCGTTCATAAGAGGAAACCAAAGCACCAGGAAGCCGGAGGGAGACCAGCCGTGGCCGCGGGCCCAGGAAGGAGAGCAACGGCGGGGCGGAGCGGGGCGCACAGGCAGGGACTCTGGGACACCTCCTGTCATGAGCCGGCCTGTAAAGGAAAGCGCCGCATAAGGAAGAGTCGCAGGAGATGCTGAAAGAAACCACGTGGAGCTTCTAGAAGTGAAAATGACAGTTTCTGAAAGGAGGGATTCCCTGGAAGGAAGGAATGAGCAGGAGGCTTTGCTGAGGAAAAGATTGGTGAACTTGACATAACTATAGAAACTATTGATCTAAAGCAAAGAGACCAAAAAAAAAATAAAAAGACTGAAAATGTGAAGAGAGACCGGGTGGTCTGTGGATATAGATCTATCTGTCTGTTCCTCTAGGTTGGGAGGGGGAGACTCAGGAGATGAGGGAAAACTGAAAAAAAATTAGAAGAAATGAAGGTTGGAAAATGTCCAAATTTGATGAAAACTATAAACTCATGGTTCCAAGAATCTCATTGAACCCCACGCAGAATACACACAACAAAAACCTGCCAACTCGAACACAATCAGATTTCTGAGAAACAGTAATAAGAAGAAAATCTTAGAAGCAGCAAGAAAAAAACAAAACACCACCACATTATGTACAGGGCATCTATATATATAAAAGGCTAATATGCAAAGTGTCCCCACGGGAGTTCGACTGGGAGACTGGGAGTTCTGTCACTTGCTATGACGTGTGCTTACCACCAGGGGGCAGCATGGAACAAAGGAAGGCCCCAGCCAGCAGTGGGCAGTCAGGGAAGGGAGGCCCTGGCCAGCAGCGGGAAGGCCCTGATTGGCCCTGGTTGCCGGCCAGGCTGAGGGACCCTATCCGTGCCCAAATTTCATGCACCAGGCCTCTAGTAAAAGAATGACTGTGGACTTCTCATCTGAAACTATGTGCACCAGAAGACAATAGAACAGCATCTTTAAAGAGCTGAAAAAGTCTATCAAAAGAAAAAAAAACTTAAAAAATGAAGGCAAGACCGGTTAAGGGTATGGCATTCTTTTGGGAGGGTGATAAAAAATGTCCTCAAATTGATTGTGGGGATGGTCGCACAGCGTTGAATACTCTAACAACCTTTGAATGGGATGTGACTGTTAAGAGTGTACACGAATTAAAGGGTCAGTAAAGCAGTCAGTCAAAAAATGAAGACTTTCGTAGACACACTAAAGCTAGGAGAATTTGTTGCCAGAATCCCGCACCTGCAACAAAGTTAAAGGAAAATTTTCAAGCTGAAGAAAAATGTCAAAAGACACCGAGAAGAGGCAAAAGCAAGCCACCGGCTGGTAGATAATGTATATGTCATGAAGCACTGGTGTCCAAAATACATAAAGAACTTCTGCAAGTCAACATTAGAAAACAAAAAAAAGAAAACCCTATTAAACAGTGGGCAGACGGGTTTAACCTGTACTCCACAAAAAATGTATGTGGGAGGCCCCCGGACACCTGGGACGAGCTGAGCATCGCCAGTCGCCAGGGGAGGCAACTGGGAATTATGATGAAATACCGTCACAGAGCCACCAGGATGGCTGAAACAGATGGAGGGTGTGGCGCATCGGTGCGGGTGTGGAGCAGAAGGAACTCTCAGACACTCCTGGTGGGAACGCAGAGGGGTGCAGCCTCCGCGGAAAGCAGTCTGCCGCAGACACACAGTTAGCGTGTGACCCCGCACTTCCGCTCCTCGGGGTTCGCCGGCACTCTGCCTGCTGGTGCGGATGAGGGCACGGAGGCTCAGGTGTCAGGGACAGGGCAGCACTGGGTGGAGGGGCCTGGCGTCCTCGGCCTGGGAGGTCCCAGGGGGAGGCAATGGAGTGTGTCTGGGGTCCTGGCTGGTCATTCCTTCTCTTGTTTCAGGTTGCCCTTCCCGCCCGGGGACCGAGTGACCTTCAACGGGAAGGAATGCATGTGCCAGAAGTGTTCCCTGCCCAAGTCCGCGGGTGGCAGCACGCACCTGTCCCAGGGCCTCTGGAGTGAGTGGGCGCTGAGGGCGGGGAGGGGGGCGGCTGGCACTGACCAGAGGCGGGGGATCATAAGGAAGGGAACCGGGATAGAAATCTCTGGTACGTTCGTGCCGCCAAAACTTTGCACAGGCTGTGCCCGCTGCCCTGTGTGCCACTCCTGCTTTTCACCCACCTCCCTTCTTGTGTTTGGCCCAGCTCTGGCCTACCTCCTCCAGGAAGCCCCCCTGGCCTACTTCTCGTACTCTGCCTCCAGCTCACTCAGCTCCCCACCGTTAAGTCCAGGCCGTCTAGAAGCCCCTTGGGAGAGCCCTTAAAAGAGCATCGAACTCTGGGCTCCGGTGGTCAGGGCTGCACATCGCAGGAGCCAGGCCAGGGTGTGTATGTAATAGGTGCTCAATACGTGCTTCTGGCATGCAGAAGCGGGAGGTTGTTCCTATAAAAGCAGGAACGCCAGCTGGCCTGTGGGTGTGGGGCAGAGTGAGAGCGGGGCAGGCGCAGGCAGGTGATGGCCTCTTCCAGCGCGGGTGACTCTTCGGGACCAAGAGGGATGTGGGGACTGGGCTGGGGCCCCGCGTTCCGGGCCCTGCTGCTGCCAGGATCCCGCTGCAGAGGTGGCGTGTTTGGAGCCCACCCTGCGTGTGAGGTCGCTGTGGTGTCCCAGCACCAGGGCCACATGGCCTGGGACAGAGCGGGGGTTCCTACTGATTCTGGAGCCAGGCCCTTGCCCACGTGGTTCCCATTCATTCACTGTGCACACATTCATTCCACTTGGTCCCCCAGCCTGGGCAGCGAGTGGAGGAAAGCCCCTTCCCTCAGGCGCTGGATCTTGGAGCTCGAATCTGTCTTAAAGTCGTTTCCCAAAGTTGCATGTGGTTTGAGCGGTGTGATAATGTGGAGAAGCCAGAGCTTGCCAGCAGCCCTGGGACTGTCCTGGCTCTGGCTGGAGGGTGCACCTACTGCCCAGGCCCAGATGCTCCACCCCTGGCAGGCAGGCCTCTGTCTCCCCAGCTCCCGGCTCAGTGCTTGCAATCAGCACCCAGCCACGGCCCAGTGCATGCAGTCAGCATGTGCAGCATGACCCAGTGCATGCAGTCAGCATGTGCAGCACGGCCCAGTGCATGCAGTCAGCATGTGCAGCACGGCCCAGTGCATGTAGTCAGCACACAGCCACGGCCCAGTGCATGCAGTCAGCATGTGCAGCACGGCCCAGTGCATGCAGTCAGCATACAGCCATGGCCCAGTGCATGCAGTCAGCATGTGCAGCACGGCCCAGTGCATGCAGTCAGCATACAGCCATGGCCCAGTGCATGCAGTCAGCCATGTGCAGCATGGCCCAGTGCATGCAGTCAGCATGTGCAGCATGGCCCAGTGCATGCAGTCAGCACTCAGCCATGGCCCAGTGCATGCAGTCAGCATGTGCAGCACGGCCCAGTGCATGTAGTCAGCACACAGCCACGGCCCAGTGCATGTAGTCAGCATGTGCAGCACGGCCCAGTGCATGCAGTCAGCATACAGCCATGGCCCAGTGCATGCAGTCAGCATACAGCCATGGCCCAGTGCATGCAGTCAGCCATGTGCAGCATGGCCCAGTGCATGCAGTCAGCATGTGCAGCACGGCCCAGTGCATCCAGTCAGCACTCAGCCATCGCCCAGTGCATGCAGTCAGTTCTGCCACGGCCCAGTGCATGCAGTCAGCTCCGCCACGGCCCAGTGCATGCAGTCAGTATACAGCTATGGCCCAGTGCATGCAGTCAGCATGTGCAGCACGGCCCAGTGCATGTAGTCAGCACTCAGCCACGGCCCAGTGCATGCAGTCAGCATGTGCAGCACGGCCCAGTGCATGCAGTCAGCATACAGCCATGGCCCAGTGCATGCAGTCAGCCATGTGCAGCATGGCCCAGTGCATGCAGTCAGCATGTGCAGCACGGCCCAGTGCATGCAGTCAGCACTCAGCCATGGCCCAGTGCATGCAGTCAGTTCTGCCACGGCCCAGTGCATGCAGTCAGCACTCAGCCATGGCCCAGTGCATGCAGTCAGCTCCGCCACGGCCCAGTGCATGCAGTCAGTATACAGCTATGGCCCAGTGCATGCAGTCAGCATGTGCAGCACGGCCCAGTGCATGTAGTCAGCACACAGCCACGGCCCAGTGCATGCAGTCAGCATGTGCAGCACGGCCCAGTGCATGCAGTCAGCATACAGCCATGGCCCAGTGCATGCAGTCAGCCATGTGCAGCATGGCCCAGTGCATGCAGTCAGCATGTGCAGCACGGCCCAGTGCATGCAGTCAGCACTCAGCCATGGTCCAGTGCATGCAGTCAGCACTCAGCCATGGCCCAGTGCATGCAGTCAGCACTCAGCCATGGCCCAGTGCATGCAGTCAGCACTCAGCCATGGCCCAGTGCATGCAGTCAGCTCCACCACGGCCCAGTGCATGCAGTCAGTATATAGCTATGGCCCAGTGCATGCAGTCAGCATGTGCAGCACGGCCCAGTGCATGTAGTCAGCACTCAGCCACGGCCCAGTGCATGCAGTCAGCTCCGCCACGTGGGAACAAGCTTTGTGATTTGTTTTCTACGTGTTTGCCCCCCTGCCCTGTAGCAGGGTCCCCTAAGCACAGCAGCTGGACTGTCCCCTCTCTCTGCTCCCTGGGGCACTCTAACTGCTGTAGGTGTGTCCCGAGACCCAGCGGTGAGGCTCCCCCTCCTCTGGGCCCCAGCGGTGACGTCTGTGTTCTCCTCTTCCTCCCAGGTTGTGGGGGCTGCGGCACAGAAATCCAAAGCGGCCAGTCCCTGGTGGCTCTGGACAAGCACTGGCACCTGGGCTGCTTTAGGTGCAAGGCCTGCGGCAAGGAGCTGAGCGCCGAGTACATCAGCAAGTGAGCAGCGGGGCGTCGGAACGAAGCCCCGGGGTCGGCCTCCGTCTGTCCCCTGCCTTCCACCGCGCTCATCCCTCCCGTCTCCACGGTTAGACAGGAACCCGGGCTGGGACTGCGTGTCTGTCCCCACACGGCGCAGCCTGGCTTCCCTAGCGGGGTCTGCAGACTCCACTGCCATTCGTTTTGCGGATGGAGCAGATGCCGTGCTGCCATCTTTGACTGTCACACGCCACCCGCGCCCATCCCTGGGTCGCCCTCCCTGGGAACCCGCCCCTCGCCGGCACTGGCTCTCCTGCACAATGCAAAGTGCTGTCGGCCGCCAGCCCCGCATGAGGGGCCAGGGCTGAGCAGTCTCGGTTGTCACGACATGACAGTGCTGAGACCTCGCCAGCACCGGCCGCACAGGGCAGCTCCGCAGCGGGCCACACGGTGCTCCCCGCGTGCGCTCAGGAGGCCGGTGGCTGGTTTGGGGGGGAGGGAGCTGCTGGGAGACCGTGGCCCTGCACGGGCACCTGGTTTGCCGAGGGCGTGCATTTAATCCAGAGCTCAGGGGAGAGACAGGCGAGTCCCCGGCACAGGAGGGGGTGAGGGTGCAGCGTGCGGTCTCGGGCTCAGAGCACACAGCCAGGGGCTCTCTGCGCAGCTCTCCTGGGGCCTCCGCTAGTTCTGAAGCCCCGACGGATAGAGCAGTGATGGCGAACCTATGACACGCTGTCAGAGGTGACACGCAAACTCATTTTTTTGGTTGATTTTTCTTTGTTAAATGGCATTTAAATATATAAAATAAACATCAACAATATAAACCTTTGTTTTACTATGGTTGCAAAGATCAAACAATTTCTATATGTGACACAGCACCAGAGTTAAGTTAGGGTTTCAAATGCTGACATGCCGAGCTCAAAAGGTTCGCCATCACTGGGATAGAGCGTCACAGGAACTGATCGTGTTAAAAGAAGTCCTGTGATAAAACGGCATGGGATGCAACACACACATGCATGCTGGCACGCACACACACATGCACATGCTGGCGCACATACATATACTGACACATGCACACACATACTGGCACACGCACACACACATGCTGGCACACACATATACTGACACATGCATGCACATGCTGACATACATATACACTGGCACATGCACAGACACGCACATGCTGGCACACACATACACTGGCACACACATACATGCACACATGCTGGCACATGCACACACACATGCTGGCACACATACACTGGCACATGCACAGACACGCACACATGCTGGCACATGCACTGGCACATGCACACATGCTGGTACATGCATGTACACACATGCAGGCACATGCATACATGCACATGCGCACACAGGTGCTGGCACAGACATACACTGGCACATGCACACACAGGTGCTGGCACAGACATACACTGGCACATGCACACACGCTGGCACATGCACACACATCCACATGCTGGGACACACACTGGCACATGCACAAACATGCTGACACATGTACATACACGCACATGCTGGCGCACACATGCACTGGCACATGCACACACACGTGCACAGGAGGTGGACCCACGTCACTTCCCTGGTGGCCTCATCCTCTGATTCTGCAGGAGGTCTTGCTGGTCTGTTTTCTTTCTTTCACCTGCATGTGCCTGTACACTTATCTCAGGATAAAGTGTTTTCAGAAGCCCCCTGTGCGGGCCGGGCCCGGCCCCTCGCCACCTGTGGCTCCTGTCGAGGTGAAGGGAGGGTGACTCAGGCGGCCTGGCGGACAGAGTGTGAGAATGAATGAGCCGCCCAGCCCCCGAGACCGCAGCGGCCCACACTGCGCTGTGACTTAGCAGCCTCCAGACTGTCCCAGAACTGAGGAGGAGGGCGCCTTGGTGTTGCCATGGAGACGTCATCTTTGAACCTCTGGGGTTTGCAGCACATCCACCCATTCGTGGGGAATCGCCGGGCCCTGAGGTCGGCGGCGTTTGAAAGTGGCTCCTCGGGCCCCATTTCTACCTCCCTGTCCTGTGGGCCAAGGCTTCACCCTCAGGGAGGCTGTGCAGGCAGAGGTGCCCCTGCAGCCCCGGGCCTGTCCCCCCAGCAGGCTCCTCCCTCCCCTCCCGCAGGCACCCCGTGACTAGAGGAGGTTGATCACCATAGTAACTGCAGTCACTTTTAAATGAGCTCCCAGCGGCCGGCGCAGCTCAGTGGTTGAGTGTCGACCTATGAACCAGGAGGTCATGGTTTGATTCCCGGTCAGGGCACACGCCTGGATTGCAGGCTCGATCCCCAATGTGGGGCGTGCAGGAGGCAGCCTGTCGATGATTCTCTCTCTCTCATCGTTGATGTTTCTCTCTCGCTCTCCCCCTTTTCCTCTCTGAAATTAAAAAAAAAAAAAAGAGCTCCCGGTTGGGCAGATGCTGGACCCAGCGCGGTGCCTGCGTGATCTCCCGTCCATGAGCTGCACTTGGGTCCTTTTTCTTACGGCTCCCTCAGTGGGGGCTCCGTGTTTACGCAACCTGCCCCGGGCTGCCCACATACCCAGGAGCAGTGCCCCAAATGGTGTCATTCGTCACTAATCCCACCGCCACCACCAGCGCCTGGCGCGGAATAGGCCTGCTGTCAACCTCTGGGGGTGCCACCGCTCCTTACTCTGCCGCTGGGCAGGTGGCCCCAGCTCTGTGCACCTCAGTTTCTCCATCCATGAAATGGGACCATCTTCGTGGTTCCTCGTGGGGCTGGTGTGATGGCGGAGGCCGTGCTCCCGCCTGCGGAGCGTGGAGGGTGGTCCTGTCACTTGGAGGAGGAGGAAGTGTGCTTGTCCCTCTGCCACAGCCCCTCTCACGGGCGAGGGTTGTGGGCGTTGGGGTGCTGGGATGACCCCGCCCATCCTGACTGCCTGGCTCGTTGCAGGGACGGGCTGCCCTACTGCGAGGCCGACTACCACGCCAAGTTCGGCATCCGCTGCGACGGCTGCGAGAAGTACATCACGGGGCACGTGCTGGAGGTAAGGCCCGCCCCATGGGCGCTGGGCTGCCTGCCTGTGAGGATCGGGGGGGGGGGGGGGCCTCCAGGTGACCCACAGTGCTGTGTGCTTGTGCAAGAATCTGTACCAGAGCCTTTGCCACCTCGTCCTCCCCGCTCTGCCTGGGGACTCCTGGGAGTGAGCCACCTTCTCCAGGAAGCACTCCAGGCCCTCTCTCCTGTACCCTTTACGAGCTGCTCAAGCTGGAGAGGTGTGAAGGACAGAGACCCTGGTCCAGCCCTTGGGCCTAGGTGGGGAGTCTGAGGCCTGGAGGATTGAAAGCGAGCTCAGGGGGCAGGGCTGTGTCCTGGGGGAGGAGCAGAGGGTCTGGTCGCCTGGCAGGCCAGGTCACAGCGCACTTGCAGGCCGGGTCCCTCGGGGCTGCCTGTGCGCTTCTAGATCCAGGCGGCAGCCTCATGGCGTCCCCCCTGTGAAAAGAGCACATCCTAATATCTGGTGACGGAGAGATGTGACTGGGTGGTGGGCACGCGGTGCCATATACAGATCTTGTAACAGAGAAATGAACGCCCTGACACCCAGATGTGCCTGTTGGTGCTCAGGTGTGTGACCCTAGCGGCTTCCTGACAACCGTGGGCCCTGCCCCTGCACCCAGGGAGGGGCCGACCTGTCCCAGCCCCGCTGCCTGCCTCGCCTTCTGGCCCCATGGGAGGCTCCGGAAATGTCCTCAGGGACACAGGGACAGGGCCTGGGAGCTGTCCCCAGCCTAGTGCTGGCCAGGGGTGCCTGCTTGGGGGCGGGGTGGGGGGCGGCAACCAGCAGGCCTCCCTGGTGGGCCTGGGGGCAAGGGAAGGCGACCCTTCTGCAGAGTGAGCGTCCCCGTGTTCGATTGCAGCCGTGCACAGCGTGGGGTGCGGTGTCCACGCCGCCCCCGCCCCGCCCCCCCCCCCCCCCATTGCCTCTGCGCGCTGGGAGGCACAGGCTGGGCTTTGCTCCGGCCTGCGGGAGGCTGAGGGCCTCCGGGAAGATTGACGCCCTTGTTTTCTCAGCCGGAGCCGGGCTGGCTGCGTCGTGGGCTCTGCGAGCTCGGAGCTCCCTCCTGGAGGAGAGGCGGCAGCGCGGGCGGCAGAGAGAACCTGGGGGGAGAGGAGCCACTTGGCAGCCGCAGCGGAGAGCAGCCGCCACGGTGGCTCCACCTGAGCCCGCCGGAGCGTGCCGGCCCGGCAGTGCGGGGCAGTGGCTCCTGGGCAGCGGGTGGCAGGTGCGGGACCTGAAAGAGAAGGGGAAGGATCCGGACCCCTGGCTGCAGGGTGAGGCGGGCGGCCATCCTCGTGGCCACTCTGCCCGTCCAGGCCGGTCCTGGGAACAGGCCCTGGAGAGGAGCCGTGGGGTCGGCTGATCGGACTGGGCTGTGGTGCCAGGACCCCGGCAGGTAGGCAGCCCGGCCAGGTGCCCCGAGGGCTGGTGGGGAGGCCAAAGGCGCCGTGCGGGGCTGCAGGTGGGGGGCTTGCAGGGAGCAGGGGCAGATCAGCCAGGTGTGAGGCCCCCCAGGCACCTGTCACCCCCTGCCTCCCGTTTGCCCCCAAGATGCTGGTCACCCAGAGCCAGAGCGGGAGAGCAGCCAAGCCCTGTCCTCGCTGCCAGCAGGAGCCCACGGCCTGCCCCGCACCTGGTCTGCGTGCCCCGGCAGAGTGCCACCTTCGTGCTGGCACCAGCAGCGCCACTAGCCGTGCAGTGTGCATCGGGCGGCAGTGGGCGCTTCCTCCCCCGCCTCAGTCTCCCAAATACGAGGCATCCTGTACCCAGTTTCCTGGGTCCTGCAAGTCGGGTGTCTGTCCCGATGGGCCTGCTCCATGCTGGATGCAGGGGGAGGACCTTGTGGGTCCTGCAGGGCCTGGGAGATGCCGATGGCTGGGGGCCTGGGAGGGACCGAGGTACCTGGGGGCAGAGGTGGGTGCCTGGAGCAGCCCCCGCGACAGCGCTGGGCTCCTGGGATGGTCGCCTAGGGAGAGAGCTGGGAGGTGCCTGGGGAGTTGCCAGGACAGCAATGCAGACAGATCCTCTGGACCAGCTGAGTGAGGGGGAGGAAGTGCTGGGTGAGGGGGTGGACGTGCTGGGTGAGGGGGAGGACGTGCTGGGTGAGGGGGAGGATGTGCTGGGTGAGGGGGAGGCCCGGCTCAGACCCTGCTGTCACCCCACCGCACGCCCACTTCACTCTCGATTTTATTCTCGGTAGAATTAGCTGCAAGGCTTCCCTGCGCAGGTTGGGGGGGAGCGGTGGCAAGGATGGGGTGCTGCTGTCTGAGCCCCACCTGTGTCAGCAGCCTAGCTGTCCCCATGGCAACGAGAAGGCAAGTTTCCTCTGGGACCCACCAATTCCTCCCTCCCTTCCTGCCTCCCTCCCTGCCTTTAACCCTTCCTCCCCACCCTCCTCCCTCTATCCTAGCACCTTCCCGCCTCCCTTCCTTCCTCTCCCTTTCTCAACCCACCACTCACCTTACAGGTCCTTCCTGGACACCCACGGGGTCCCGGCGGTCTGGGGGCTGCCTTCCTGAGAAGGCGGTGAGGGTCCCTGCCTGCCTTGCAGGGGACCCCGTGCGAGAGGGGCCCGCCCAGCCCACTCCCGCCTGGTCATCCGTTTATCTGCTCACCTGCCGATGGGCACTGGGTTGAGCCGCTGTGAACTATGCGAGGGCCGTGTGGACCTACATCTTCATTTCGCTTGTTCTGGCCTCTTCGTTTGTCTTACGTCCCTGGGAGGGGCGCTGCTGGGTCACGTGGTAATTCTATACTTTTTCGGGGACCTTCCCACGATGCACAGGGCTTGCTGTTTCTCCACACGCTCCCCAGCACGGGCTGTTCTCCAGTTTGTTCTGTTCTAGCATCGCCCGGGGCCGTGCACGGGCGCCTCCTGGGGTTTGGGTTACATCTCCGTAGTGACCCCGATGTTGGCACGTCCAGTAGCTTCGTGGCCACGTGGACGTCCTCTTTGGAAATGTCTGAGCCCTTTGCCGTGTTCAGCAGGACTGTGGTCACCTTGTTCTCGGGCTGGAGGGATTCTCTGCGCATCCTGGGTGCCGAGCCCACTCAGATCTGTGATGGCAGATGTTTCCTCCTGTCTAAGTCGTCTTCCCACTTTCCTGGTCAGTGTTGCTGCTCACGCCTTTGGTGTCCTGCCCGGAATCCACTGCCCCAGGGGGCCGTGCAGAGGGACCCCGTGCTTCCTTCTGAGCGTTGATACGTTTAGCTCGCACAGTGGGCCCCGTGGGGGCACACTTCACGGCGTGTGTCACCCCCAGCGGCGCACGCACCGACGCGCAGCTTGAAACGTGTTCACAAACTGGACACCGTGCAACCGGCCCTCGGACAAGAGTGTGCGAGCACCCCGACACCGGGGCCCCCAGCACCCCCAGGGCAGCCACCGCCCGACTCTAAGCGCGCTTGAGTTTTGTAAAGAGGGAACCCCCTCCTCAGTGTCGGACTGTTCCAGGCCTGTCTGGGTTCTTCTCGCCACACGCGGGGTCACCTGGGGCCTGGTCCCCGCCGACAGCGGGGGGGGGGGGGGGGGGGGGAGCGAGAGGCTTGTGATGAGTTCACCCCGTCACTCACTCGCTAGGGAAGTGGTTCTGACCCAGGGAGAGGCAGTGGGATTCCTCTCGTTTCAGGAAAGAGTGAACCATGGGGCCAGCATCCGCTTTTTGTTTTGAATCCTCACCTGAGGACATGTTTTCCATTGGTTTCTAGAGAGAGTGGAAGGGAGGGAGGAGCAGGAGAGAGAGGGAGAAAAACGTTGATGTGAGAGAGACACATCGACTGGTTGCCTCCTGCCCCGGCCGGGGCTGGGGAACTTGCAACTGAGGTACGTGCCCTTGACCAGGAATTGAACCCGGGACCCTTTGGTCCACGGGCCGATGCTCTATCCACTGAGCCACACCGGCCAGGGCCAGCATCCACTCTCAGCCACAGGCTGCAGGCGCCACCCCCCCGCCACCGCTCTTTACTGTAGGGGTAAGGAATACTCCCTATAAAGTAAGGCGATATTTTGAAAAAAGTATTTTGGGGGTGATTTGGGTTTTATTTTGTTTGTTTTTTGGCACCATGTAGAACTAAGCCAAACCAGGGAATGTAATTTGTTTAGGTTATTTCAGTATTAACATTTAACCTAATTTAATGGGTTTTAAGAATTGTAAGTCATAAACGCTAAGCGAGAAAATCGAGCAATACAGAGACACCTAAGAAAGGTACTCATTCTCCCCTCAGCTCCCCAGGCCCCTCCCCCGGAAATAATGCCAGCTTTGCCCCTCCCCCGTTCCTCCTCCTCCTGGGCCCCCAGGTGCGGAGGTGACTGGCTGGCCCTCTGCCTTGTAGGGTTGACGGGAGGGGGGGGGGGGCTGCCCTTCAACTGCTGAGCCAGGAGCTGCCCAGACATGGTTCCCAGCGGGCAGGGCAGAGCCAGCTGGCACACACAGCGCCCGGCACTCCCCGATCGGCTTTGTGGACTCCCTGCCCGGCAGCATGCCCGCTCGCGTCCCCAGGCACCAGCTGCACCCCCGCAGGACCCCTTGCTCTGTCCCCACAGGCCGGAGAGAAGCACTACCACCCGCTGTGCGCGCTCTGCGTCCGGTGCGGCCGGATGTTCGCCGAGGGCGAGGAGATGTACCTCCAAGGTAAGCGTGCGCACCCGGGGCAAGGGACCAGCATCTCCCAGGCCCCTCCCACGAGCTGCGTGTGGACGGGGTCACGTGTGTTCTCTGCTAGTTAGGGGGCCCACGATGCAGGGGGAGCAGGGACAGGGCCCAAGCAGGCTTTCCTGAGGGGCTTTCAGGACAGCGGGCGGTGCTGGGAGGCAGAGCCCAGGGGCCCTAGTCTGCCTGGGGCGGGGGGGTGGGGGAGCAGGATGCTGCTGGGATTGTCCCAAGAGGCCTCGGGGAGGATGGTCAGTATCGAGACCCATCTCTTTAAAATATATTTCTATTGATTTCAGAGGAAGGGAGAGGGGGAGAGAGATAGAAGCATCAGTGATGAGAGAGAATCATGGATCGGCTGTCTCCTGCACACCCCCCACTGGGGATCGAGCCCGCAACCTGGGCGTGTGCCCTGACCGGGAATTGAACTGTGACCTCCTGGTTCGTGGGTCAGTGCTCAACCACCGAGCCACCGAGGCCGGTGAGACCCGTCTCTTTAGCCGCAGGTTCTTTTCAATGATCTCTCTGTCCCCAGCGTTGGGGCCGCCGGGCAGGGCCGGGTGGGGCCAGGCAGGGGCAGGGCCGCACACTGACCCGCGGACAGGCTGTGTGATGGCATCATGTGCCACACAGGCCTCCCTTGCTGAGGCCGAGCCTCTCGGGGTGATGTCAGCCAGGATGGCCGCGTCCCCGACACCCCCTCTTATTCCTCGAGTCCACGCTGCAGAGTCTGTGAAAGAGGTCCTTTGCGCCCCTACAGCAGGGCTGGGCCGTCTGGCGGGAGGGGTGCCCCCCCGAGGTGCCCGCCCCCACCGTGATCAGTGCTTTCAGTCCCTCCTGCCGCCAAGCCCTGTGGGCAGGACGGCAGCGTGGGGACACGAGCTCGCACACGGAGGCCTGTCAGGAACAAAGAGCCTCTGCCCGGCCCTGGCTGAGGCCGGCGCCCACCTGTGAACTGATGCCTGCGGTGACTCCCCAGTCCTGCCTGCTCCCGCCTCGGGTCTCCCGTCTCCCATGAGTTAGATGAGGTGTGACCAGGCCAAGGTTTTCGAGCTCCAAGCCACAGACCCCAGGGCCCCACCCACCCTGCCTGGACCCCCAGACCCTCTGCCTGGTCTGCCCGGCACGGGGCTCCACGCAGGTATAAGCTGCCAGGTGACTCGTGCAGTGAAGCTCTGAGGAGCAGGGTTCCCCCCGACCAGCCCTTCCTCTGGGCGGCTTCCCAGCACAGACTCTTCCCAGGAAACACCGGCCTGGGTGTGACGCGCTTGGTCATCGGGTAAAATAACGAGTCGATGTTCCTGTTTGCCCGCTGGGTTGACCAAGATGAAAAGGAAGGGCGTGTCCCCCGCCCCCAGGTCCTGAGCATTCGAGGAAGCGGGCCCCTGGCCTGGCTGGTGGGGCGCAGTGGGGAATGGCCCATAGGCCTCAGGGCCTTACCAACGCCACGGCGGGGAGCCCCCGCGGACCTGGGAGACGTGGCGGCTCGTGCACCCGGCCCGTGGCCTAGAGATTAGCCTGTGGGAGCCGGGAGCTCGCGGTGTGTCTGCCGTGTCATGTCCCCGGCCTGGGCTGTGCGTCCCCTGGGGCAGGGCTGCCACCTGCTGTCAGGCCCAGCATAGAGCGTGCCCAGGGCCCCCTGGAGGGGGTGGCCGAGTGGACATCCCTCCGTGTGTGAGCCCCCCCGGCCCCCCACGGCCCTGCCTCGGGGCAGTGGCACTAACCCCGGACTCTGTCCCCAGGCTCCTCCATCTGGCACCCGGCCTGCCGACAAGCAGCCAGGACTGAGGACAAGAGCAAGGTTGGTGCGATTCCCGATTTCTCCCGCTGCGTCTCCGCGCTTGGGTGGGACTGTCATGCAGTGGAGGGGCCGCCGGCAGCGTCCACGGGCTGAGGGGCGTGGACAGGACGTGGGGGGGTGTCAGGTGTACACAGGGCATTCTGGGGTTGATGTAAGGTAGCTCCCGGGGCTCCCTGCCCTGCCCTCTGACCTCCTCATTTGCTCAGGGGATGCCGATGGCCGCAAAGATTTGGGGACAACTTTGAAGTTAGCGAGTCCCCAAGTGGTCACCGCCATTTTGGCTCAATTCCCAGAATGGTCACTAGAATGGCAGGCCCTGGGGTTTAGCACAAGAGCAGCCCCTACTCCCCCCCACCTCCTTCCTACTCCTCGCTGCCACCTCCCCGGGGCCAGGCCCTGACCCCACCGCCCGGGGCCCTGACCCCACTTCCCGGGGCCTGACCCCACTGCCCGGGGCCCTGACCCCACTGCCCGGGGCCCTGACCCCACTGCCCGGGGCCCAAGCCCAGTGCCCGGGGCCTGACCCCCTGCCCGGGGCCCTGACCCCACCGCCCGGGGCCTGACCCCACCGCCCGGGGCCCTGACCCCACCGCCCGGGGCCCTGACCCCACTGCCCGGGGCCCTGACTCCACTGCCAGGCCCAAGCCCAGTGCGGGACTTTTAGGAGGAAGGAAGGGGGCAGCCGTCCCTCAGCTCCAGGACGCAGAGGCCGTGGGTGGACGTGTGACATGTTGGTTTCCTGTGACCAATCCCCCACATGCGAGACCAGGAAGCCACAGGTACATGGCCCGTGGTGCCGGGTCAGAGTGTAACCGGGCTCTGGGGAGAGCCCATTCCTGTCCTTCCTATATCTAGAGGGGCCACACCGCTGCCCGTCACCCCCTCGCCTCATAGGGGCCCTGCGGTCACCCTGGGCCCCGAGAATCCAGGACCGCCCCCCCACCCCCCAGGCCCCTCAGTCCGTCTGCAGAGTCCCTGTGGCCACACGAGGCAGCAGCCACAGGGTTGGGAGTTAGGCTGTGAGCCTGTGGGGACGCTGCCTGGCCTCCCGCGGCGACAGGACTGACGGTCACTGTGTCACGTGCACGGCCAGGCCGTCGTCTGTGGCCGCACACGGCAGCTGTCCATCACCCTCTCACATGGCTGATTGCCCCACACATTGCGCCTGGGCCGCCGGCCTCAGCGATGAGCCGGGCAGCACGCCCACCTCCCAGCGCCACAGTCCTTGACCCTGCGGTAACCTCCAGGGCCTGACTTTTGTCCATGGACACCTCCATCCCGGAGGCCAAGCCCAGGCCTGCCAAAGGGACCCCACGCGTGCACGGTGTGTGCATGGGGAGACCGACCAGGGGTGGGAAGGGGACGGAGGCCACACAGGGACAGCCAGGGCGGCCACAGCGGCTCCGGGTTCTGGACGTGGCTGCTGAGCTGGCCCCTGGCTTGAGGGAGCCCAGTGCTGGCCTCTGCTCTCCGCTGGAGGCCACTCGTGCTGACCATGGCCGGGGCCCGGCGGAGGGAGGCTCTGTAGTCCAGAGGGACAGGGAGGGAGGGGTCACGCCCGGGGCTGCACATCCGTGGCTTCCTGGGCTGTTCCCAAGGCGCTTTGGGAACATTGGGGGGGAGGGGGGGGCCTGCAGCCAGAGAGCGGCTGCCCCTGGGCGCTGTGCCCTGGCGCTGGCGCCTGCCCCTCGGTGCCCTGGGACGGGATCCAGGCCCCAGCCATGCCCTGCTTGTCCCTCGTCCCCCCTCCCCAGCCCTCAGAGCCTCTCTGTCTTTGCCCAGGAAATGAGGGTAGTGTCCGGGGCCTGGGCGGCCAGGCGGACGGGGTGGGTCAGCTGGTTCTCCCCGGGGACGGGTGCCCGGGACAGTTCTCCGGCCAGCTGGCCGCTCTGGCCTGGGAGACAGGAAGAGAGAGCCAGTTAATGACCATGGCCCCGCCAGCCCCGCCAGCCCCGCCAGCTCAGGGTGCGGGGTGGGCCAGAGAACGGCGGCCCCTGAAGACAAGGCAGCGGTCGTGGCCTCGTGAACTCCTGAACCGGCCCCGGTCAGGGTGGCGCCAGTGACCTGGTGGCCGTAGGAGAGCTACCTGCCCAACCTGGGTGTGCTCAGCAGTCTTTCACCAACGGCCCCTCTGCGCCGGGCCCTGGGGCCCTGGGAGGAGGCTCCTTTCCTGCCCTTGGAGTCCAGCTGTGCCTCTGCCCGGCTGTGTGACCTCAGGTGAATCACTGGCCCTCTCTGAGCCTCAGGCCCTCAGCTTTAACCTGGAGACGGGTGGGTGTCAGACCCCTGTACGCTGTGGGTGAGACTCGTGTGCACCAGGCACCCTGTGACTGTGACCCTGGAGGAGGCTGAGCGTAGGGTTGCGGGGGGTGGGGGGGCGGGAAGCTGTGGCCCCTTCCGACTGCGGGTGCAAACAGACCCCAGGCTGCTCCAGGGCAGCGCCCAGGGACCTGTGGGCCCCTCCCCTGCGGGACGCTCCCCGGGGTGAGGGGCACAGGGCCACTGCCGCTGCACCGGGCTGGTCCAGGGCTTCCTGCCGTGGCCCAGCTGGGCCTGAGGTGAAAGTGAGGTGACCTCAGAGCCCACCTCCCCACGCCGTGTCTCCACAGACACGGAGCCCTGGGGAGCGTCTTCGGGCTCCTAGAGGAGGAACCGAAGTGCAGAGGGTTTCAGACGTGTGGCATGTGTGCGGACATCAAGGTGGCCAGTAAAACAGGCCACCTGGCCACAGGGACGGCGAGAAGGCAGACCCCAAGTTACCTGCCTCCGAGTGGCCATCGTATCTGGGGAGGGGGGAGCTGGAGACCTGGGACTGCACTGTGGGTTCGGGCTGAGCTTGGGGGAGACCCCTGCCCCGCCGGCCTTCGGAAGCCTGTGGTCTGAGGGGACAGGCAGTCCCATGACTCCGCCCCATTCAGCAAGCAGAGCCCAGTCCAGGGGCCGGGGAAAGCAGGGCAGGCCTCCCGGATGAGGCGGCCCTGAGCTTGGTCCCAGAGGATGCCAGGGCCATGGAAGGGGGTGGGCCAGGCTGACGAGTGGGCCATGCAGAGGTGAGCCGCAAGCATCACGCCCTCTCCCCTCTCTCCCTTCCAGATGCAGAAGCAGGTTTGCCGGGGCACCACCCCCTGTGCCTTCCAGGTTTGTGCCTGACGGCTGGCCCTGGTGTTGTCCCGTCCTCGCTGCTGTCGTGCTGCGTGTAGGGGAGCTGGGCGTGCTCCGCCGGGGAGGGTGGCCCCACGGTCTGTGTTAGTTAGTGTCCTGGGCTGACAGCACTCAGGGGCCTTAAACAGACACCCCTTTTCCCCGCCCTGGAGGCTGGAGGCCCAGACCATGGGGCAGCAGGGCGGCTCCTCCCAAGGCCTCTCCTTGGTGTGTAGAATGGCCATCTCCTCCCCGTGTCCTCACAGGGTCGTCCCTCTGTGTGTGTCTGTGTCCTAAGCTCTTCCTTTTTAATATATTTGTATTGACTTCAGAGAGGAAGGGGGAGGGAGAGAGAAACATCAATGATGAGAGAGAGTCGTGGACCAGCTGCCTCCTGCACGCCCCCTACTGGGGATTGAGCCCACAACCCGGGCATGTGCCCTTGTCCAGAACCGAATCTGGGACCCTTCCGTCTGCAGGCCGACGCTCTATGCAGCTAGCTAGGGCAAGCATGTCAAACTCAAAGGCGAACACGGGCCAAATAAACAAGGTTTACGTGTATGTGGCCGCAAAAAAACAAAAGCTTCAATTTTCATAGAAACGTAGGTTTATTTCGATAGAGACGTGCTGAAGACTAAGGGCTGAGATAAAGGAGTCACCGTTAATGAGTATTTGTTGTGGGCCACACGCGGCCCGCGGGCCACAAGTTTGACATGTTGAGCTAGGGCTTACTCTCTCCTTGTAAGGACTCCTCACATTAAGTCAAGGCCCCACGTAGCTTAATTAGGGCTTTAAAGGCCTGTCTCTAAACACAGCCCTGCTCTGGGCACTGGGGTGAGGCCTTCCGCATGCGAGTCGGGGACACCACTCGGCCATAACGAGGCCTCGTCCAGGCTGCTGGCACTGTAGCGGGTGTGGGTGCTGAGGGGGGCTGGCCAGAATCGGGGGGACAAGGGTCTGCTTAGGAAAGGAGAGGGGAGGGGGCCGGGGTTTGGGGAGAGGAGTCCGCGCTATTGGCTGGGAGGCCCTGCGCGGAGAGGGTTCCGTTTAGAAGGGCGAGAGGGAGAGCTAGTGGGGCTGGGCCAGGCAGGGCCATGCTGGGCCAGGTGAGGGGAGCGGCAAGTCACGCCCTGCAGGCGGATGGACACAGGTGCGGTCATCGGGTGGAGCCGGAGGCGAGTGTCCACGCAGACACGGGTCAGGCCTGCTGTGGGAGCAGAGGAGGCCGCGGTCCGGGCGCTGTCACCTCGGGGGAAGCAGGAGATGTGCTCGGGGAGGCGAGGGGCAGGACGGGGCTCACACTGCAGGGAGCACTCGGGCCAAGAGGAGGGCTCAGCGTGAGAGCGGCAGCAGTGACCTCCGGGGGCTGTTGCTGAGACCTCGCTGGGGTGCGGGACCAAATGCGGTTCCTGCAGGGGCTGCCGGTGCGGAGAGAGGCGTGGGGCGGAGTCGGGGCCTGAGGGCAGACTGTGGCCTGGAGCCCAGACTGGCCTTTAGGTTCAGGGACCGTCCCTAAGTCTGACAGCAGAGCCGCTGCTGGCCTGCGCTGCCCCACGTCCCCGAGCGGCACGGCTCTGGGTCGGAGGCGGCCTTGCCCCTGGCGCTCAGAGCCCCCGCCTGCTCCTGTCCCCCTGGAATTGGTCCTCTCTGCGCCATGAAAGCTCGCACTCGTCGGCACTACAAACCCGCTGGCGTGTAGCCGTGTCACCGCGGTCTGTCTGATGTCTCCAGTTGTCCGTGCGAGCTGCCTGTCGCTGTGAGAATGCTTCACCCTGACAAGGAAAAGAACCGCCGTGAGCCGGCCCTCTGGGCCGCGTGACTGACGGCTGCTTGGGACCGTCTTTCCTGACATGTCCTGTTTTCCGTCCCCATCCCACCCCCACCCCCACCCCCCCGCTTCCCAGGAGACCAGGACGTCCTCCGAGAGCATCATCTCTGTGCCTGCGTCCAGCACCTCGGGGTCCCCCAGCCGCGTCATCTATGTAAGTTGGGCTCTTTCTATGGGGAGGGGGGCCTGGGGGCGTCGGCGCTGCCATCCGGGCGCGGGGACTGGTGGAGACCTCGGGAAGCTGACAAGAGCCTCCTCCCCGTGGGCGGAGTGACCCCGCCGCTCCCCGGGACTGTGGGGACAAGGGCGCGAGGAGGTGCTCACAGCTGCTGTGGATGACGGTGTAAAAGTGACATCGCCCCACGCCCTGCGCCAGGGCTTCCTGAATGACGTGCCGGGCACCTGTGGGGTCAGGCAGGCGTGAATGCCCTGCAGATCCGTGTGTGTCACCGTGGAACGTGCTCGGAACGTGTTCCTAGGGAAGCACGCTGAGGATCACATATTATGAATCCATTATCGTTCAAGAGGGTGTGTGTATGTGTATATGTGTGTATGAGTGTGTGAGCATGTAAGAGTGTACATGTACGTGCGCGTATTAGTGTGTGTACGTGTTTGTAAGTGTACGTGTGTGGGTGCATTCGTATTTATAACACTTGCTTGTCTGCACACATGGCTGTGTCTGCATGTGTGTATACATGTGTGCAGACATGTGCACGTGTGTCTGCATTTGTGTGTGCATGAATGTGTTTACCCGCATATGCATGCCTGTGTGTTTGCATGTGTCTGTGCGTTGTCTGTGTGCACACAGAGGTGTCTGTATGAATTATTAGATCATGACTGAGCATCACTGTCCGCCCGTGTCAGGCCCGACACCGGGACAGATCTCTGACCCCTGAAACCATCCACTGGGGCCACCTCTGCCCCTTCGTGGAGAGGCGTGGGCCCGAGAACGCGCTCCCTCAGGCCACGGCGGCCCCTCGTGGCCTGGCGTCGGGACCAGGCCCACGTGATCATGAGGCCTCCTGGCCCATTAGGCGCTTCACCCTCACGGGGCTGGGCGCAGGCTCGGCTCCTCCACACCCGCCTCACTCGGGTCTGACGGTGCCGCCGCCCTTTCCCTCCCGCAGGCGAGGCTGGGCGACGAGATCCTGGACTACAGAGACCTGGCTGCCCTCCCCAAGAGCAAGGCCATCTACAACATCGACCGCCCCGACATGATCTCCTACTCGCCCTACGTCAGCCACGCGGGGGACCGGCAGAGCTGCCTCGAGGTACGGCCGCGGTGTCGGCCGGCGGGCGGGTGGCGGCCGGCGCGGCCCCTGGCTCTGTCCTCGCTGCTGGGCGACGCGAGGCCTTCACCCCCGGAGACGCGCCCTGGGCGTCCTCTCTAAGGAGCCCGCTGCGCTCTGCCCGGACACCCCTGGCAGACGCACGCAGCTCCCTGGGGCCGAGCCTGGGGAGCCCTGTGTGGCCGGGAGCAGGCAGGGGCCGGTGTTCAGGAGATGACGGGAACGGAGTAGCGCCTGTTTCTTGTGGTTCAGGACCATTTTCACAATATGCGAAATGTAGTTTTCCTTTATCCGGTGCCTTCAGCCTGCTCCCCGTCACCAGCTGGGCCCGTCCCGTCCCCGCGCTCCCTGGCGTGGCTGCACCAGGATGACTTACTCCGTGGGCCCCGTGGGCAGCGTCCATGGCTGACTCTCAGGCGCAGCCGCCCTCTGTTTTCTGCGGGGTCACTGTTGGTGCCCAGTTTTCCGGGGTGGTTTTGAGGTTCCCGTGTGACCTTGTTGCCTGTGACCAACGGGAGTGTCTGCCAGCTGGCAGCCCGGTGCGTGTGCCATTCGAGTGGGAGGCCTGGCGGCAGAGCCCTTCCCCCCACGTGCCCGGCCCTCCTGTCTGAGTCTCCAGCAGGGCTGCCGGGGAAGGGAGGCTGGGGCCCGGGCTGCCACGTTGGAGGTGGTGGTTGGTGCCAGCCCCGCCAGCCCCGCTGACATCTGCGGTCACAGTGGCTGGGCACGGCTGGCAGCTCAGGGCAGGGCGGGGAGGGTGAGGCCAGAGGGGCCGCTCCTCACTGACTCTGTCCCTGGGGGCAGGCAGGGCCCCAGGTGTCTGAGTGATAAGTCCCAGGAAGAGGCTGGTGGGTGGGGCGGAGGGGAGGGTCTGACCTGCTCCCACCTCCCGCTGCCTGAGCCGAGCCTGGCAGGGGCCTCCTCGTTCCTGTCCATCGGGCTCTGCTGGAGGCATTGGGAGAGGGTCGGGAGGCCAAGCCACTTGGCCACCACCCCCTGGAGCCAATGTCTGTGGGGCGGACGGTGTTCACCTACTCTAATTGGGGAGGGGTGGTCCCTGGCTGGGAGGCTGGTCCCTGCTCCCAAGGCCCCCACCAGCAGCGCTGGCCTCCCCGAGCCCCAAGCCCCGGAAGACTCTCTTCCTCAGTCTCCCAGGGCGTCGCCTGCCCACGCCCTGAACCAAGCTTCCTGTTGGAAAAACTTCTTGGAGAGCAGGGGCGCTGGGGGGCCGGGACGGAGACCAGCTCCACTGTCCCCGCCTCTTTCTAGGGGTGCCATCCCTTGACTGCGTTGCTCCAAAAAGAAGGTCTGGGAGCCCCGGGGTGGGTTCCCGTCCCCGTCACGTGAGCGTCTGTGCCCGCGTGTCTCCCCACGAGCAGCCGCCGGGGCCGCGGGCTAACAGGCTGCTCTGTGTTGTGTCCACAGTCGCCCCAGTTGCTCTCGCCAACGCTGACCGAGGTAACCGCGCCCCCACGCGTGCTCGCGTGCTCCCGGGTTATAAACATAACCACCTGCCGCCCGGAGGGCTGGGGGCCTGGCCGTGGCGCCCGGGCCACGCGCTCCTGGCTCGGTGCCCCCTCGGCGTTGGTTATTTTTATGATCGCGTGGCCCCTGCATGCCTCCCTGGCGCCCCTGCAGCCCTGCAAGTGCGGACGTGGGGCCCGGCCCGTGGCCTGGGTCACGGCTCCTTGGAGACACTCCGGGCACCGGGGCGCCGGCCCAGCTCCTGCGCCTCACGGGGGCACGTCCGGGAAGTCCTCGCAGATGAACATTCTGGAGGCATTTCTCTGTCCGGCAGCATCGGTCACGGGCAGCCTGCTTCTCCTGTTTCTCGGGGTTAATGAGAGCAGAGAGAGAGAGCTGCCAGCCAGGCTCCAGGCTGCGTGGGCATCAGACCCTGGGACCCTGAGCCCCACGGGCAGGCGAGGCGAGGAGACAGGACATCTGAGGGTGTGACCGGCCCCTGGGGCTGGCAGAGGACGCCCAAGACAGAGAGGGACCGCGGGACTGTGGCTGCCTAGCGTGTGCTGTCTCCAGGGCTGGGCCAGGCTGAAGGGCTCGGGGTGCAGCACCTGCACGAGGCCTGGCTGAGCTGGGGGGCGTGGCGGGGAGGCGCAGGGCAAGCTTCGGGGACGGTGACTCACAGTTTGGCTGGAGAGTGAGCCCCAGGAGGTGGTGGTAGGCTGGGAGGGTGGGAGCCCTGAGCGCCAGGCCCAGACTCTCACCTTGCCATCCCCACACTGGCCTCGGGGGCCAGAGCAGCCGCATCCACCGGCGGCCAGACACTGGGCTGGGGTGTCAGGGCTCAGGGCCACATGCTGAGCAGCGGGGGGCCCGCGGCCTGCTCTTCCCTGTCCCACGTGCCACGCCATCTCACGCCGCCTGCCGCCCGCTCTGACGCTCTGAGCAGCTGCTCATGCTGCTTGAACGGAGTCCGCCTTGTCCGTGCTTGTGGGTCTGGCTCAACGGGGCCCGCGGCCTGGACCCTATCGAGGCTGGGGAGAGCGCAGAATCTCAGTGGTTCTCAAACTGTGTTCCAAGGAGCCTTGGGTGCTGGGAAGGCCTGCAGGAGGGGAGCTGACGGGTGTGGGAGGACTGGGTGCCTGGAGCTCCATCGTGGGAGCCTCAGCCGCAGTGGGGCTGGTGGAGGAGGCGGCCCTGCCCTCTGGCCCCTGGGGGCACGGGCACCATGCTCAGCCGGCAGGAGTTCAGCACCAAGGCCAGCCCCCTGCCTCCCCCCCTGGCCCACAGGTGCAGGGCACTTGGCTCTGAGGTCAGGGAAGCAGACACTGAGCGGAGGGGGGTGGGCCGTGCTCGGCTCCGTGCTCACCAGGCATTTTTCCTCCCAGGGAGACCAGGACGACCGCTCCTCCAGGCAGTGCCGCACCTCCAGCCCCAGCTCCGCCGGGTCGGTCAGCCTTGGGCGCTACACCCCGACCTCACGGTCGCCCCAGCACTACAGCCGGCCAGGTACTTGGCCCCACGGCTCCTTTGACCCTCCAGGAAGCAGGGTTTCTTGTTGCTTTTCCTGCTATGAATCAGTCTCTTATGTACACCGGGCAGGTGTGGGTTGCCGGTGGGCAGTGGAGAGCCCGTCCATCGGGAGGGGGCCCCTCGTGTCAGGGCAGGGGGGTGGCTGCAAAGCAGCGGGTCCCCCTGCGGGTAGAGGAGCTGTGCGTGAAGCTCACAGGCACAGCTGAGCACGTGGGAGCAGCTCTCGGAATTCATGTCTCAGTAGAGCAGACGCCAGGAAACAAAGGCACAGAGATGGAAGGAACCCAGTCAGTTCCCGCTCACGAGGGCCTGGGAAGAGGAAGGCAGAGTCCGTGTCCAGAGAGTAGAGTCATTCCCCTTTGGCACGTCAGCCGTAGTGGGCGGTAGCCCCACGGACAGCAGCCCCGTGGGAACATGGGCAGGAGGCCAGCACCAGCTGCTCAGAGCAGGGCGAGCCCGAGGAGGTCCCTCCCCCCTCCCACCCCATCCCTGCTTGGTGCCCCGCTGTGGGCTGCTGTCCCTGAGCTTCCAGACGCCTCGTCGCCCTCAGAGTGTCAAAGTCCCAGGGACACTCCACACACAAAAAGGACGCTGCCTTTTTGAGGGATTTTTCCACGCTGCTTCCTCCTGGCCAGCCGCTGCATGAAGCCATTTCACATCCACAGACAGCTGCTTAGTCTTGCAGCCTCTGTGGAAAAATCACAGCCCATTCATCTGCAAGGTTACTGTCCTGGGCTCCCTGCAGTGTGGCTGGTGCGACCTGCTCAAGAACACGTTCCATACGTGTTTGGAAAGTGGATAAGTGAATGGGAGAGCGAGCGAGTGAGTGAGGGACTGAGTGAGTGAGTGAGTGAGTGAGGGAATGAGTAAGTGAGTGAGGGAATGAGTGAGTGACTGAGTGAGTGAGTGAGTGAGTGAGGAGTGAGGGAATGAGTGAGTGACTGAGTGAGTGAGTGAGTGAGGGAATGGGTGAGGGACTGTGTGAGTGAGGAGTGAGGGAATGAGTGAGTGAGTGAGTGAGTGAGGAGTGAGTGAGTGAGTGAGGGAATGAGTGAGTGAGTGAGTGAGGGAATGAGTGAGTGAGTGAGGGAATGAGTGAGTGAGTGAGTGAGTGAGGAATGAGTGAGTGAGTGAGTGAGTGAGGGATGAGGAGTGAGTGAGGGATGAGTGAGTGAGTGAGTGAGTGAGTGAGTGAGGGAATGAGTGAGTGAGTGAGGGAATGAGTGAGGGACTGAGTGAGTGAGGGAATGAGGGAGTGAGTGAGTGAGGGAAGGAGTGAGTGAGTGAGTGATGAGTGAGGAGTGAGTGAGGATGAGGGAATGAGTGAGATGAGTGAGGAGTGAGGAGTGAGGGAATGAGTGAGTTGAGTGAGGGAATGATGAGGCGTAGTGAGTGAGTGAGGGAATGAGTGAGGGAGTGAGTGAGTGAGGGATTGAGTGAGGGAATGAGTGAGTGAGTGAGGAGTGAGGGAATGAGTGAGTGAGGAGTGAGGAATGAGTGAGTGAGTGAGTGAGGGAATGAGTGAGTGAGTGAGGAGTGAGGGATGAGTGAGTGAGGCGTGAGGGAATGAGTGAGTGAGTGAGTGAGGGAATGAGTAAGTGAGTGAGTGAGTGAGGGAGTGAGTGAGTGAGTGAGTGAGGGAATGAGTGAGGGAGGTGTGAGGAGGAGTGAGGGAATGAGTGAGTGAGTGAGTGAGGGATGAGTGAGTGAGTGAGTGGGGAATGAGTGAGTGAGTGAGTGAGGGAATGAGTGAGTGAGTGAGTGAGTGAGGGAATGAGTAGTGAGTGAGTGAGTGAGGGAAGGAGTAAGTGAGTGAGTGAGTGAGGGAATGAGTGAGTGAGTGAGTGAGGGAATGAGTGAGTGAGTGAGTGAGTAGGGAATGAAGTGAGTGAGTGAGGGAATGAGTGAGTGAGTGAGGGAATGAGTGAGTGAGTGAGTGAGGAGGGAATGAGTGAGTGAGTGAGGGAGTGAGTGAGTGAGGGAATGAGTGAGTGAGTGAGTGAGTGAGGGAATGAGTGAGTGAGGGAATGAGTGAGTGAGTGAGGAGTGAGGGAAT